TCCGAACATGTCTAAGGCGAACAATTGGTATGAACACAGTGTTGGTGAGGCTAGCATATCTGATTTTTAAAATGGATTTCTGCCTTATCCATGGCAAAAAATGAGAGGTTGGGCTTTCAACTCAGTGGGAGATTATATTCTGATCAATGAAAAAAAAAGAAAGAATGATTAATATATTTTGTTAACTTAACGTCAATAATTATTGGCACCAAAAATAATTTTTAAATTAATAAAATAAAATATATATAATAATATTTTTATTATATAAATTACTGCGCTACCTTGCGGGTGCATATATTTATGACATAAATTAAATAAAAGTTTGATAAGAATCAAATAATTAAACATTTGAAGACATACAATAATTATTAATATAAAAACCTCTTGTACTTTTTGAATCATTTTCAAACTCTATAATTATATAATATATATGTGTATTAAATAATTTCAAAAAAAATTGTTTGAAATATATATTTGTTGATGATGTTAACTTTTACCTTTTTTTTTGTTATTCCTCTTCCATTGCGTAACCTAAAATTAACCTTTTTCTTTAAAGTTATTTTAAATATAACTCTAAATTGAATTTGAAATTTTTATTCTCCTCTAACATAAATATCAGTTTACAAACATAAGGCAGAAACAAAAAAAAAGATTAACAAATACAAAAGTTTTTAACAACTTTCCTATTTATTCAAATAGTGACTTCAGTAAACGACCATTTTTAGCCATTAACCTATGAGTTTTTAAAAAAATCTAGGCGCAAAAATCCGGCTTTAACTCGGTTTAGCCGACTAAAAATGGGCGAAAGCTAAAAATATAGAAATTGCTCAACTATAGTTAAAACTAATAAAATTTTTAAATATATTATATATACCCTCAAAAGTAAGGACAATTGGTGGGTCATTTCATAGCAAATCGTTTACGATTCTCCCGCTCTCTTGGGATTTGGGTGAGATTTTGAATACAAACTAAGGAACCTGTAGCAGTTTCCAAATTTTAGTATCTTAGCTCTTCTATTTTTTGATATATCAAGGGTCAAAGTGTGAAAAATGAGGGATGTTTGCATTTATCGATTGCCTCAATGTACAGATTTACTAAAAACTATTGTAATAATTTTAATATTGAAATAGAGTGAATTGCAGACATCAGGCGCGTACGCAGGAATTTGGTATGGGGGGGGGGGAAAATTTTTTAAGAAATATTATTGTTTTTTAAAAATATCAAGCATAATTTTATTAGGACTAATAACTATTCCTAATACACAATTTTAAATTAATGTGAATTATAAAAAAATTATATGTAAATAATCACTTAAATTACCCAAAATAGAAATTTTAATTTTTTGAGCCTTTACACAAAAAGTTTCTTAAGAATAATTGTATTTTGTATGTTATATATTTACAATGTAAAATCCAATCTTCGTTGGGTTTGAGCTAATTTTTCAATTATCTCATCCTTGCTGGTCGTCAAATGCATACAAACATTTCAATCTAGTTTCAGATGTTGTACTTCTTGGTATGTTTTTCAGAGATCTGCAGGCCCGGCCCCTGGACGGACAGTATTTTAATTTTTTTAAATATACCCGGGCCGGGCTCGAAATTTTTTAAAAAAAACACCCTGGCTGGGCCTGAATTAAAAAAACACCCTGGCCGGGCTTGAATTTTTAAAAAAAAACACCCAAGCCGGGCTTATTTTTTAAAACAGCTTATATTTGAAATCGTTATTATTAGTTATAAAAATCAAAAATAAATAAAATTTATTTTAAAAAAATCCGGGCCGGTGTAGTATTGTAAAAACAATACCATCTAAATTCAATACGGTATTGATTCCACAATATTGTAGAATCAATACCGTATTGATAATTTATGACCAAACCTCAACTTTTAAGAATAAAACCTAAAATTTATGAATGAAATCGGAAAAATATTCTTTATTGAATACCTATAACAGGAAAATATTCTATATCAATTGCTGCCAATACTTGCTTTTAATGATGGTACACTTAAATTTATAATTATAATTTTAAATCAAGCAAGTATAGATAAATGTCAAAAATATTCTTTATTGAATACCTATAACAGGAAAATATTCTATATCAATTGTTGTCAATACTTGCTTTTAATGATGGTACACTTAAATTTATAATTATAATTTTAAATCAAGCAAGTATAGATAAATGTCAAAAATATTCTTTATTGAATACCTATAACAGGAAAATATTCTATATCAATTGCTGCCAATACTTGCTTTTAATGATGGTACACTTAAATTTATAATTATAATTTTAAATCAAGCAAGTATAGATAAATGTCAAAAATATTCTTTATTGAATACCTATAACAGGAAAATATTCTATATCAATTGCTGCCAATACTTGCTTTTAATGATGGTACACTTAAATTTATAATTATAATTTTAAATCAAGAAAGTATAGATAAATGTCAAAAATATTCTTTATTGAATACCTATAACAGGAAAATATTCTATATCAATTGCTGCCAATACTTGCTTTTAATGATGGTACACTTAAATTTATAATTATAATTTTAAATCAAGCAAGTATAGATAAATGTCAAAAATATTCTTTATTGAATACCTATAACAGGAAAATATTCTATATCAATTGTTGTCAATACTTGCTTTTAATGATGGTACACTTAAATTTATAATTATAATTTTAAATCAAGCAAGTATAGATAAATGTCAAAAATATTATTTATTGAATATCTATAACAGAAAATATTCTATATCAATTGCTGCCAATACTTGCTTTAAAATATCACCTAATTTTTAATGAATCAAATTGGTACATTTAATTTGTAATTATATTGCCAATACTTGCTTTAAAATATCACCTAATTTTTAATGAATCAAATTGTACATTTAATTTATAATTTTATTTATATCAAGCAATATATAAGTAACAGAAAAATATCATTTGCTGCCAATACTTAGTGACAGAAAATATACTTCCTTTACTGCTTTAAAATATCACAAATTTTTTAATGATGGTACATTTAAATTTATAATTATAATTTTATATAAAGCAGGAACAGATAAATATATAAAATATCCTTTATTGCTAATACTTATAAGGAAAATATTCTACTGCTTTAAAATATCACAAAATTTTTAATGAATCAAATTGGTACATTTAGATTTATAATTATTAATTTACATTTAACAATAACAGATAAATATCAAACAATAAAAGAATATCTAGTAACAGGAAAATATCCATTAATCCTTAAAAATGATCCAGGTAAAAAAGTAATTTTAGATGTACGGCAAACAATTTTATTGTTAAAGAAGATAGTCTTTATAGAAAAATAAAGAATAAAGAAGGTAAATGTGATCACAAAATAATAATTTCTATTTATTTATTAGCTTTAGTAATAATGGATGAAGCAGAGAAACAAAGGGTAATATCTATTATTCACCAAGGATCAGATATATCCCTAGAATCTAAAGCTATTGGTGCCCACCTAGGCATTAATAAAACTCAACTTAAACTCTCTGAAAGGTATTTATTATGGTGTTAATTTGTTAATTTTGTGTTTATAGATATTGGTGGCCAATTTTAGATAACGGTAGTATTTTTTTCATATAGACGCTGTTCTAGAGGACTAGAGTCCTCCCATTGGATCTGGATTATCTGTCAGGGCTAAAGCTGATCAAATTGATGGCATAGTGCATAGGTTATCTGCTTTTAGAATAGCAACAATGTTGGGGGTGGTGGCCTAGGCTATTGATATGGGTATCACAAAGAGTTCATGACGTTGTTAGTTTTTTATTTAAAAAATAAATGGCGTCTGAAATGGGGATTCGGTTTTTTATAAAAAATATTATTTCATATATGGAAGTATTAATTCTATGAATTATTATCTTATGTTTGGAGATAAAAAAAATATTTCTGATAACATTATCCAATACCAATTTGAAAAAATGTTATGGTAAGGGTCATACAAGGTTTTTAAATTTTATGCCAAAATTAGTATTTTAAATTTAACCCCTGATATAAAATATTAGGATAATGTCTCTGATAAAATATTTGAACTTGGTGCTTAGATAAAAAGTCTTTCTTAAAGAAGGCACCCTTTGAAAAGAAAATGAGCTCTATACACATCTTGCAATTAATTAGTGATTCAAGACACTATTGATTTTATAAAATCATGTGATAGATGTCAGAAGGCCATTACAAGATTTTCTAAAACTACTTTAAATCCAATATATGTACCACCTCTTCCATGGGCTCAAATAGGAATTGATCTTTGCAGCCTGCCCACTTCAGAAGAAGGCTACACTTGTATTGCTGTTGCGTCTGATTATTTTACAAAATGGGTTGAGGCAGAACCTATGAAATCAAAGACAGCTGAGGAGACTTGTAAATTTATTTATGGTCTGATTTGCCGCCATGGCTGCGCAACTGTAAATCAAATTATATAAATATATATCGATTAAAAAATGTGCATTTATGATAATTTATAAACTTTTGATTTTATACAATATAGATACAAATCAATGATCAAGGCCGAGAATTTGTCAATGAAATGGCCACGAGATTACATAAAATGACAGGGACTGAGCAACGCATTTGCAGCGCATATCATCCTCAAGCTAATGGTTTGACAGAAAGGAATAATCGTACTATTCAAAACTTAATGTTAAAGGTTTTAAGTGATGATAAAACACTATGGCTTAGGGTTCTTCCGGGGGTACTGTTTGCAATGCGAACCAGTGTCCACAAATCTACAGGATTCACCCCATTTTATATGATGTATGGTCGGAACGATCAATATTAAATGATTTGCATAATTTAAGTTATGTAATGATATTCAATAAAAATACCTTAAAAATATAAAATTTGCCTTACTTATCTACCGGGTTTATAGAAATATTTAAAATATTCTAATTTTTTTTTATGGATTAGATACTTATTAAATAACAAATTTCACAAATTTTTCATTTACGAATATTTTAAAATTTTTTGACAACTGTCAATCATTTATATATACGTCCGTTTTTATTCAATAAATTCTTTAAAAAAAGATGAGCCTTGCTCCTGCAGCTCTAATTCACAAAAAGAGAAAATTATTCTTAGGAATAGATGGACCTGTTGGCTATGTTCCTGGAGCTGGCAGAGGGTACAATTAGAAATTATATTTATTTTAAAGTATAATTATTATGTGTATAATGTTTTAATATAAATAACCATTTTATTACTTAGAGCTACAGGGTTTACCACACGTTCTGACATTGGTCCTGCGCGAGAAGCGAATGATATATCGTATAAATTTAATTTATTATTTTTTAAATAAAATAATATAGTAATTTTGAATTATAATATGGCCATTTTTTTTTTCAACACAATCAGTAATAGCTTTTGTCAATAAATATATTCTACCCTTAGCCTTACTTATTACTTTTATATTACTACTTATTTTTGAAAATAATCCTGTTAAAGTATAATATTGATGTATTGCTTCAATTATTATATCTCTATCTACAATATTTGGATATATTATAATAAATCAGAGATGAAAGGCATGCTCCACCTGTCAAAAAATTACTTCCTGGAATGGCTAAGCCAGAAGAAGAGAAAGATGAAGAAAATGAAGAAGAAGATTTAAATGATTCTAATTATGATGAGGTTATATGCAACTTTTATATGATTTATAATAAAAATATATTTACTTAAATCTTACATTTACTACACCATGGTTTTCAAAATAATAATTATGACTATTATATCTTAGTTAGTATGCAATGAAATGTGGAATTTATGGTTCCACAGGCAGAATTTCAATAGAATAATTCTTCGTACAAAAACAATAATTTTTTATTCAATTAAAAATAAATTCAAAAACTTTCGTATAAAAATATAATTCATTTATTTAATTTACAATTAAATCCAAAAACTTTTGTATAAAAATATAATCTTTTATTTAATTTACAATCGAAAATAAAAAACTTTTTAATTAAAATCATCATCTCTTTTTTTTCCTTTTTCCTTATTATTCATCTTAAAAAATACACAACTCTCTCCAACATCAATCCCCATATCTCTATCATATAATCATAATTACAACAATGAGGATATTTTAAATGAAAATTTAAAATTCCAAATTATAAAAAGATTTTAATAATTTATTGACTTCTTTTTTTTTTAAAAAAAATTAACTGTTCTTCTAAGATTTTTGCTCGATATTTTTTATGCAAAAAATGTTCAAATATTCATTTGAAATTTTTTTAAACCCTCAAATTTTCTTAGAAAAATAAAATTGTAAAAAATCTTATTTTTTTTGAAAATTTTTTATATAAAAATAGTTTGCCGGATATGGTGGTAGCTTATTTGCCAAAGGGCCTTATGAGAAAGATGATGAAGAAGCAGATGAAATTTATTATTCTGTTGATTTACGAATGGATGAAAGAAGAAAAGAAAGAAGGTTATTTATTTTATTAATTTTTTTAACCTTTTTTTTAAAAAAAAACAAATAGAGAAGCTAAATTTAAACGTGAAATTGAAAAATTTCGTCAAGAAAGGCCAAAAATTCAACAACAATTTTCAGATTTGAAAGTATTATATTAAAAAAATGCATGTATAATCATTATTATAAATAATTAACCTATTAATTACAATATTTTAATTTTTTTTACATTTTAATAGAAATTTCTATCATGTATTTAAGTTGGGTTGATATTCTTAATATAAAATTTTAATATAAATAATTTTCTATTTGATTTTATACAGTAGAAATATAATTCGTAGTATTGCACCTACTCGGATTATAAGAATATCTTATATCGTCATTTAATATTCAATATGAGGTTTTAAAGAATATGAATAATATCTTATTCCATTAATTATAGTTCTTCTTATAAATTTAATAATTTAAAGTAATTTAGAGATTATTATGTAGTTGGATATACTATCTAATATTTAGGTAAAAGATAAATGACTGCCTGTTCATCCCATTTTTTTTCTTACAGAAAAAAAGCCAATTTAAAGACCTTCATTTCAGAGTAAAGCTTCAAATGCAAATCTAGCGTAAGGTGGGAAGAAAAAAATATTATATTTACGAGCAATAATTGTCCCTAACAATTTGAAGAACTTTTAAAAATTGTAAACGATTCCACATGATGGTTACTAGCTACTGCCTAACGCCCTCTAAGGCCGCATTCATAGTTGGATCTGATGCGACACAATTTAATAGCTGATCGATTTTTAAGATTTCTTAATGTATTAATACTATGTATGTCTTTAATTCAATTCATAATAATTATAATCTATGAAAGAATGATTTTATAATAAATAAAAATTGATCTCTTAAACAGATTTTTTTAAAAAAACTGTCAGCTGTGGATAAAAATATTTTTATTATAATAAAACACAAAGTTTAAAATTATAATAATAGAATTATATTACAACGAATTTATAATAGATGTATATTGTTTTATATTATCTGATATTTTTTTTTAAATATAAATGTACATCGATCTGATTATTGTTATACTGTAATGTTATTAAATTAATTCTCCTTTCTCGCCTTTCATATTTTGTGTTCGACTTGGATATTGATAATCCAACTCGATATTGTTGATTATTTAGCTCCATGTTACCTTGAACAATTTGTAATTTATTTATAAATGTATAAATATCAGGATGGGCTGTTCTTTTTAATTTTTTTAATGCCATGCCCCCGAAGTTATTGTTTGTCCTCGGACCTCCAATGTTGAAACGGCTTCAAAATGTGGACTTGAAATTATTTTTACATATGTATGTATTTGAAAAATAAAGCATAAACTGTCTTCAGAGCTTCTAAATCTATCCCACTCTGTAAATGTCTGAGTATACACGAGAGATAGCTGTGAAGGATCGCAAAATGGTAGTGTAAATATTCTCCAGAGGATACCCTAGACATCGATAGCAATTCAAAACATACAACATCCAATTTTTTTATTGACACATATACACCTAATAAAGATATAATTATATTTTGGAATACCTAAAAAAAGATGGCGTGTACCTCAAAAATTTTGAACATGGATTGTACTTCTTTTTTTTTTGAACTCATCCTTCATATACTTCACACAACTCTAACACTCTCCATCAATTTAACGTTATATTACTCCATATTACCCGATAAAAAGAAAATCCGCATATACACAAAATCCCTTTCAATATGATCAAAGATTATTGTTCCCATCCTAAGACTTCCACAGGAACTCCAATTTTTCCATATAGATTTTCGAAATAAGTATAAAGTTCAGCCATTTACCTTTAACTAGATTTTACAAAGAGAGGGCTGATGTCTAAGGTATCCTCGGGAGAATATTTGCACTCCCATTTTGCAATCCTTCGTAGTTGTAGCTAGTGTATACCCAAACCTTGATAGAGTCAGAGTCTTTAAAATTTGGAAGTTCTGAAGACAATTCATACTATATTTTACAAGCACATATACATGTACTAATAATTTCAAGTCCACTTTTTTGAGCCGTTTCAACATTGGCGGCTCGAGGACTAACAATAACGTGGAGGGCTTCCACAATGAAGTTAAAAAATTAATAAGAACGACCCATCTTAATATTTGTACCATTATAAACTAATTACAAATTGTTAAAGGTAACTTGGAGCTTAAATATCTACGATATAGCGTTGGATTATCAATATCCAAGTCTAACACAATGTATGAAAGGCGAGAAAAGAGAATTCATTTAATTACATCACAATATACCAATAAATCAAATTGATGTATATCTATATTTGAGAAAAAAATATCAGATGATATAAAACAATATGTACCTGTTAAAAATTCTTTATAATATATTCTATGACTATACTTTAAACTTTGTTTTATTACTATAAAAATATTTTTTCCCCGTTCTAAATAGCTAAAAATGGGGGATTTGTTTATATCTCATAAGAAAATTTGAAATTAATATTCATAGATGCTAGGGAAGTAAACACATATTTAAATGTCTGTTTTTTAAAAAATAACATTCGCTAATGGAGGAAATATCCATATTCCCAATTTGATAGACCCGAGGGACAAATAGTAACGTCGACGGTTTCCATGATGGCCTTAAAAAGTTCAAGATGGGCCATCCCGATATTTGTTCACTTATAAAAATTGCAAAAACGTGTCCAAGCTAAAATGGAACATTAATGTCAGCAATGTGGCCTTGGATTATCCATGTCCACATCAACCACGAAATAATGGATTAATTAAATTACATTACAAATTATATTACCAAATAATTCAATTTGATGTATATTTTATATTTTTTTAAAAAAATATCGAATAATATCAAACTACTCTAACAAATTTGTATTTGTCTTGGGGATTACGTTGAAAAAAACAGAGGGGAAAATTTTTTTGTATAAAAATGAATATGACTTAAAAAAAATATTCATTGATTGCCATTAGCGAAATTATGGCTTTCAATTAAATTAATTACAAACATAATTTTATAATTAATAATGAAACAAATTAACAGCGCCAACTCTCTTTGGTAAGTGAAGAGGCCTGGTCCGATATCCCAGAAGTTGGTGACGCCCGCAACAAAAGAAAACGGAATCCGCGGGCCGAAATCTATACGCCCGTACCTGATACAGTTATTGGCGGACCGGGTGGGTCTGGCACATCCGCTAACCCGAACACTACCTTAGATCCTTTGCAACAAAGGTATGGTGGATTTACTACACCCTTTCCTGGCTCCTATGGTAGTTTTTATATTATCTCTATAAATCTTTTTAATTTAATAAAATATGTAGAACATCCAAATATGGCCAATCTTTATCTCGACGTATTTAGTTCATTTGCTCCTCTCCCTTTAAAATTTTATTTAAAATGCTTATCAATGGTCTATATATTGACCACATCTCTTTTCTTTTCTTCAAAACCTTAAAATCTCTCTCTACATATTTGCGCAGAAGATAATTTCCCGTAAAAAAATTCTCCTAGTAATTTTTTTTTAAATTCAAAAGTAGCCCCTTCCCCTCATAAATAATTTGAGGGTTTTTTATCACGTGGTATCTTCCGCTTACCCTTCTACACACTAAGTTAAGGAATCAAAAAGAAAATTAAAATAGAACTACCTACCCCCTCCCCTCCCCCTTCTATTCAAATGACGATAGCGTCATCATAACTATACACCCGCTCCAATTTCAATGACGATCTTACGTCATACCTCCACCCCTCGAATTAGAAGTGCCCATATATTTGCGAATGTTTTATTACCCATTATTAAAGGCACATCAGGCCCTGGAACAAAGGCATTTTTGCGTACCTGTTTTGCTCCCCTTCCGGCCAAAAAATTTTGCCCCATTTCGTTGAAATGTTATGAAGCACGTTCCTTTTAAAATATCTATTTACATTCCTTAACTGTTCCCAAAATCAATCACTCTGTAATGCTCTGTAATTTGAAACGTTCTATTTTATGTACCTTGTCATAAATAATACAATTTTCTTATTACTTTTATATTAACCTTGCAAGGTGGTGCTATGACCCCCTTTGGAAGTGGAGCCATGACCCCATTCGGTGCTGGCGCAATGACACCTTTTGGAACTATGACACCCTCCGGGTTGAGGAATGGGGATTTGGACCTAAGAAGAATAGGCCAAGCTCGAAATGCACTTATGGATATCAAACTCACTCAGGTATTTATATCAGGGTTGTGTATTTGACCGGTCGAATTCAAATAAATGTTTTTTAAGTCAATATTAGCTTTAATTTATACATAATAATAAAATGAATCCATAATATTAATTTTATAAATTTTTTTAAATTCATTGCCATTCAATAACTAATGTTTTGCTCTCCGTAGCAGAGACTTATTCTGATTCATATTCAATATTATCATTTTCTTTAATTATCAATTTTCCTGTTGCCGAGATCTTCAATCTATTGAAGAACATGATCTCAAATCGACAAATTTTTTCTGAAGAAGAAGTAGAACTAAGAATTGTTAATAAAATGGGACTTCTCTTAAATGGCATGGTGGGCAAAACCCATTCCACTAATTTGTGGCTTAAATCTGATTGTTTCTTTTGTAAGTTACTGCTTTCCACATAATCTTCTATTAAACATGCCACTTTTACTTTTGAAATTTATGATATCGCTCGAAATATTTTGATCATCACCACTTTGTGAAATTCCTAATTCTTGTATCACATACTCCATTAACTAGTAAGATACTCCCCTTGATATTATGGGGGCCCAATAAAAAAGCAGCATTGTGATTCCATGTTTATATCGTTTTTTTCTTTTTTCACACATATTTTTATTATTTTTTTCTTCAAATTTTTTAGATTATTTAACCCTATTGACCAGGTCATATACTCCTCCAGCCAATTAACTGACTTGCCAACCCTGATTTATACCGATGGATTTTGTTTACATTACCTTGTTTATTAATGACCTACATTATTTTAGCACATAATAAAAACTGAAACGCATTTTTTCTAAAAGTTCAAATTAAAGTTAATCAAGTGAGTTGATGAGTTTTATTAATCGACGCTCTTGGGTCTTAGTCATGGGTTGGTGATGGGGATACAATTGGAATTAGAGGGTGCCATAAGTCTACGGGAAACGGAAGGGGCCTTGATTTTTTGGGGGAAATTTAATAATCGTATACAAACTCCTAAAATCAATAGTACTAAGAAAATATATTTCTTATAAATCAAGTAACTAGCTCTGACTGTTTCACATATTTTTTTTCTGAGCGTTTCAGTTGTATACCTTAGCAACTAGTATTTTTTTTCTTAGCAATTAAATTTTTTTTTCCACCTGAACATTAAGAAATAATTATGAGCATTCACTAGGTCGGCTTAATTCTTAATAGTCGGCTATTTAACCGTCATTTAAACATCGGATAAATAGCCAAAAATGCAAAAGTTAAAATTTAAAATTAACCAAAAAAAACGAGAATAAAATACGAAAAAAACAATTTCATCACCAAAATACTTAATATAAACCAAGATAGGGCGTCCTCGATCAACTACTAAAAAGTCTATTCTAAAAAAGCAATTAAGTATCCAAATTAAGTCGAGTTATAGGACACGGCCTAAGTTATTTATTCTGAACGTTTAGGAAATTTTTTTTTCCTGAACATTTCAGTTTTAATTCTGTGTGAATAAATAGAAGCTTTTTATTAATATACAACTTTTTTATAGTCGCATATAGTGGCCCAATATTTTTTGTTATGATTTTGTGATGATTTTTATTTGGAAAATGTTTATTTTTAAGTTTTTTTTAAAAATAATTTAAATATTTTTATATTATTAAATAATTTATTTTTTGTAGATTAAGAATTTTCATATTATAAAAATTTATAAATTCCTTGGAATCACTTTATACCCATTCAAATTAACGATTTTCTTTGTTATTAAGTGCTCACTATAAAGATTTTTTAGCTATTTTTTGTGAATAAAAATTATTATGTCCCCCCTATTTAGCCATTCTATCTTTCCTAATTGGCTGGGTTTTATTAAATGACCACTTTAACAAGGGTTTTTATTTGACTTTTACTCACTTTAACAAGGGTTTTTATTTGACCTTTACTCACTTTAACAAGGGTTTTTATTTGACTTTTACTCCCTTGTCACATTTTTTTAAATGAAAAATTTATGAATCTTTTAACTATTTTTTTTGTGAAATGATAATCATAATGCCGTTCTTTCTTCTTAGCACTTGTTAAAATTGGCCGGGTTTATCATTACTATTTCCTCCCGATTCGGGTATAACCGTTGGGGACCTTGAAAATAATTTTTATTTTTACCCTGACACATCAGAGGCTTAATGGCATTTTCTTGATCTAGGCGGCTGGACACACCAAAATGGCCCAACTTTTTATAAAATGATAAGTGAAAAAAAAAAATTCGAATTCAAAATATTTATTTCTCTACTTAAATATCGAGAAATAACTTTTTAAAAAATTTTATGTTTACCAATTTATGAATTATGTACCTAATCAATGACTTGTAATTATCATTCTATCGTACGTTATATATATCTTCCTTTTTCTTTTTATTTGAAAAGGTTTCTGACAGTGTTAGTGGTCAAACTGTAGTAGATCCCAAAGGTTATCTCACAGACCTTCAAAGCGCTCTACCCACTTTTGCAGGTTCTTCACAAATTATACCCTAAACTAATTATTAAATTTTATCAACTTTGATGGATAGCCCGCTCTTATATAACTATAATAAATTTTGTATGAGGTAGGAGAGAAGTTGGATTTTTTTTCAAAATTTATCTTTTATCAGGCTATGTGCTTACACTAGTTGCATTTATTCGCATATGAAATAGTTAGTATAGTTTATACTTCATATCACTGACCATTGATATATATAAATAATATTTTGTTAGCGAAATAAGAGAAAAAAAAATGATTAATTTATTTGATTTGATTTTCAGGTTTCTTCGATGTAAACGACGTTAAGAAAGCCCGATTACTGCTCAAATCAGTTAGAGAGACGAATCCTAAGCATGGACCAGCTTGGATAGCTAGTGCCAGACTCGAGGAAGTGGCCGGGAAGCTTCAAACTGCTAGAAACATAATGGGAAGAGCCTGTCAGAGCTGCTCAACTAGTGAGGATGTTTGGCTTGAAGCTGTTCGATTGCAACCATGTGAGTTATCTACAAATTACAAAAATATGTAAGGGGTTAGGAAGAGGGATGGTTGGAAAGATGCAGAAAGTTAGCTTGAAATATGTGGAAAGTAGTCGTTACAAGGTATATTCTTAAAATGTAACTAGTTACTGTTACATTTTAAAAATAACTAGTTGTCCACAGTTATATTTTTATGACTAATCATTTTTTAATGTAATTTCTTTTATCACACAAAATAATTTCGCATCAAAATTAATTTAAATAAAGATATATTTGCTCTGAAAACAAATATTGAAATTTATGCACTGGGGGGGGGGAGAAAGATTAATCTCAACATAATATTTATTTTGCAAAAATTCTTAAGAAATTTTTTATTTCACATTTCGCCATCCTAAAGGTATTTTTTTTTAAAGATTTATTTTATATATAATGGAAATTGTGGATTCTCTTTGAAAATGATACAATTAATCTAAATACTTGTTTTTCGAGGGGACTATATAAGTTTCCTTGGAGTAGGAGCTCAATGACGGCCTTCTTATTCATATGGTGAATTCCATATCAAATCAACCAGGTTTTCAACCCGACCCCTTTCAATTTTTCTTAAATTTTGCATACTGGTAGTATATACTATAACTAATAAAAAAAATGAAATTTTATCTCCCAACTCTGTTTTCCCGCTAAGATATGGGCGTTTAAAGCACGGAAAATGGAACATTTTTGATAAAATGCGCCTCATTCATTTTCAAATATCTTGAGAAATAATTATGTTAGATAAATAATTTAAATTTTATTATGTAGCTTAATAATAGTTCTTTAATTTATCATATAAATAAATATGATAAAAATTTTTGTTAATATCGATAACCGGATGTGGAAAACCCGAAATAGCCATAAAAAGATTTTTTCAAATTTTTCTTCTTCTGTAGATAGATATCACGCTGCTTTATATTTGTACAAAATCCTAGATGAACATGGGTCTAGGAGTGGTTTTGGTTTAAACGTTTCTACAAATTTATTTATTTTCTTTACCTTTTTTTAGGATGATTTTACACTTGGTTTAATATTCGTTCGATTTTATTATATATTAAAATAAAAAAATAAAATAATCAAACAAATGTAATAATATTTTAATTTTTTTTTTTTACAGGGTTTTTATAACCCAAAAAAATAATGTTAAAAAAATAAATATTGACAAAAAATATAATATGGATAAAAAAAAACAATATTGACAAAAAATATAATATTGATAAAAAAAAACAATATGGATAATAAAATAATATTGATAATAAAAATATTCTTAATGACTTGCAATAATTATAAAAAAAATAATATACTTACAACAATAGGCCCTTACTTTTTATCTTTACAAAACTTTTGAGAAGTGGCTGGGTAATTGTGGTTTATTTAACACTTAAGTTATATTTTGACTCGATATTACTTGACAAAATAATTCTAATAACTTTATTTGCCTGAAATTGCATAATTACATATGATACAATCAAAAATTCATAATTATATTTAGAATATATCATATATTAAATCATCCAAAGTATTTGATATTTTTGACTTTCATTTTGTTTTCGTCCAAGGGAATAAATGCATGGAACTTTTGTGTTCCAGAAATTCTTTTTGCTCTAAAAAACCTGCTCTCAAGATGATTTTCCATGTTAATATACTCATTATTGCAAACAAATATATAATTTACCCCATGGAATTATTTCTTGCAAAGTTATATAAATCCATTGTTGTCAATATGTGATTTTGATAACTTGTTCAAGCTGCTAACCGTTTAGTAACACCCCCTAAACTGTCGCAGGGACTTTTAAAATGTCCGATTGCAAAAAAAATGCCACTCCGCCTTTATCCCAAAATCATTTTCATGATTGTAGTGACTAATGAAGTTTTTTTTAATTTTTATATTGGGTTACTGCCCCATCAGAAAAATAATAAAAGTCACTATATCAAATCTTTCTTTCAAGAATTGGATCATTTTTGTTTGAAATAAATAAAATGTGCATGCGTTGTAGCTTTAAACAATCTGATATAACCACAAAACTTACATGTTTTATTATGTTGTCTTCACGGTAATAAATAATAAAAGGGTGGAGAGTGGACTGATTATTGGCCCAATGGAATCCTTGTGCATGATCCTGCACTACAGATGCGTAATTTTCTGAAAAGTCCTCAATAACTAAGAATTCGCCAAATTTAAATTGGATTTTAAAAAAGTTTTGATTTTGCCCCAGATTTTCAAAAATAAAAGAAAGACTTGATATATTATTTGACGCGTATTCATTAGATTATATAACATTCAAACAATGGTTACCAGTTGATCTAATTACCCTCGAAACGCTGACAAAATCCGCCGACGTATTCTTAGATTATATAATTAAACAATTTGATTCCTCATTCGTTTATAGCTTCACAACAATCATTATTTCAAAACTTAAATGTTGGCGAATTCTTAGTTATTGCGGACTTTTCAGAAAACTATGCATTTGTAGTGCAGGATCATGCACAAGGATTTCATTGGACCAATAATTAGGCCACATTCCACCCTTTTATGATTTATTACCCATATAAGTTTTGTGGTTATATCAGATTGTTTAAAGTACAACTCAACTCATGTGCATTTATTTTATTTCAAACAAAAATGATCCAATTCTTGAAAGAAAGATTTGATATAGTGACTTAAATTTATTATTTTTCTGATGGGGCAGGAACCCAATATAATAAATAAAAAAATACTTTAGGCGGAGTGACATTTTTTTGCAACCGTATATGGTAAAAGTCCCTGCTCGACAGTTTTGGATGTGTTACTTAACTGTTAGCAGCTTGAGCAAGCTTACAACGCCTATATCAAAATCACATTATAAACCATAGTACTTTAATTTCATCATCAGATATTAACTATTTTCAAAAATTTGTATATGAAAAGCGTTATCGTTTTTATCCAAAAAATAAGCTTTTATAGACTAAACAAACATATTACAGGAATTCTTGATGTAAGTAATAGTAATGCGTTAGATTTAATAAACAGCAGAGACCTGAAATAGTATGATTTGCATGGCCCGGCCCGGATTTTTTTTAAAAAAATTTTTCGGCCCGGTCAGTATATATTAAAAAATTAAAATATGGCCCGACCCTTGTACCTGGTATAGAAATCGCCTTATTAAAAAAAGGCACGATATATATATATAAATATTACACATATAAAAAGTACCTTGAAACATAACTAGTTGCTCTTGTCGTTACGTCCCAAAATGTAACTATTTATAGTTAACTAGTTACATATTTTTAAGTAAAAATATATCTAATTAAAACCATTTTCCTTAACGGCCACTAGTTAGGCACGAAATATAATGAAGAAGGAATGTTTTGGTTAAGAATTATTTATTATCTTTTAAATGAATACCTTTATAAATTAAAAAATATTTTGCTTTTTTTTAAAAAAAATCTTGTAATTTTAAATGATAAGAAGTATTCCATTTTACAAAAGCGTTATTTCAGGGGATTTATTTTGATATTAAAAAAAATGTACAAAGTTGGGCAAGGAGTTAATATAAAACTGTTAATATTATTGAATATTTATAATATAAATTCAAAGTTTTTAAATTACATTTAAGTTCGTTGACAATTGATACAAAATTATTTTTATAACAAAATGATTATATGCATATTAATTTTTTTTAAATTTTACGCCATTTTAAAACAGCAAGCGGTGCCAAAAAAGGTGGCGGAGGGAGTTCAGATGCCAAAGCACTTATAGCGAACGCGGTTAGGCACATCCCGCAAAGTGTTAAGCTTTGGATCAAGGCCGCCGAGCTGGAAGAAGAAATCCCGGCCAAAAAGAGAGTTTTCAAAAAGGGTTTATTTTTTTAAAAAAATATTGTAAATAAGTAATGAATGAATGAGAGAAAGAATATATTTTCTAGTGAATTAACTATTCATAGAATTTTAAAATGATTATAGTGATTTACAGTGTCGCTAGCTCCACGAGACCTGCATAGTTAGTCAGAGAAGCACTATAGAACGTTTCTCTTTTGTTTTTTGCCGGAAAGATATGCTTCGGGCTTAGAATGATAACTCTAGTGGAAAGTAGTGTTGTTAAATGGCTGAGCCAAGCCGGCTTAGCCGAAAACTCAGCCAGTTTCTGAGCCAAAAATTCGGCTCAGGCTCAAGCCGGCTCATTGAGCCGGCTGGCTCAAGCCGATGGCTCAAGCCGATAGCTCAAGCCGATGGCTCAAGCCGATAGCTCAAGCCGATGGCTCAAGCCGATAGCTCAAGCCGATGGCTCAAGCCGATAGCTCAAGCCGATGGCTCAAGCCGATGGCTCAAGCCGATAGCTCAAGCCGATGGCTCAAGCCGATGGCTCAAGCCGATGGCTCAAGCCGATGGCTCAAGCCGATGGCTCAAGCCGATAGCTCAAGCCGATGGCTCAAGCCGATGGCTCAAGCCGATAGCTCAAGCCGATGGCTCAACATGTTTACAAAACATATTTTTACCTATTTACTTTAAAAAAACACAAAAAAGTTTAAAAATAACGATTATGACAATTGTCACCTTTCTATGGTACATCTTCACTGAAATTTTATTTTAACATCTTTATAATATATATTTTTACCTATTTACTTTAAAAAAACTCAAAAAAGTTCAAAAATAACGATTATGACAATTGTCACTTTTCCATAGTACACTTTCACTGAAATATTAATTTAACATGTTTACAAAACATATTTTTACCTATTTACTTTAAAAAAACACAAAAAAGTTCAAAAATAACGATTATGACAATTTTCACTTTTCTATAATAAACTTTCACTGAAATATTAATTTAACATGTTTACAAAACATATTTTTACCCATTTACTTTAAAAAAACTTAAAAAAGTTTAAAAATAACGATTATGACAATTGTCACCTTTCTATGGTACATCTTCACTGAAATTTTATTTTAACATCTTTATAATATATATTTTTACCTATTTACTTTAAAAAAACTCAAAAAAGTTCAAAAATAACGATTATGACAATTGTCACTTTTCTATGGTACATCTTCACTGAAATTTTAATTTATCTTATTTACAATATATATTTTTACCTATTTACTTTAAAAAAATTCAAAAAAGTTCAAAAATAACGATTATGACAACAATTGTCACTTTTATAAGTTACATCTTCATTGAATTTATAATTTAACCTCTTTACAATATAAATATGTCAAAAAGTTTCAAAAATGTATAAAAAACGAATATGACAATTGTCACATTAAAATATTTTCCTTTAAAAATACATATAAAATAACATAAAAAAGTTTAATATAAATATTTTTAAAAATTATTTAACCACCTCTTTAAATATACAAAAAAATAGATAGTTTTACAAAGATGATTAAAAAAAACATAAAAGATTTCACCTCAAAGATTGTTTATTTATAAGAAAATTCTCCAAAATATTGCTCAAATGAAAATTTAAAATTCTTATTGCAGCATATTGTTTATTAAAAATACATCAAATCAATAAACTATTTTCATAATATATAAATTAGTTTAAAAAAAATAAATATATATTATATTGTTTTTTAACATTAAATAAATAAATTTTGGCTTAAAATAAGACTCGAGCCAACTCTTGAGCCAACTCCTGAGCCGGCTTGAGCCAACTCCTGAGCCGGCTTGAGCCAACTCCTGAGCCGGCTTGAGCCAACTTCTGAGCCAACTCCTGAGCCGGCTTGAGCCAACTCCTGAGCCGGCTTGAGCCAACTCCTGAGCCGGCTTGAGCCAACTCCTGAGCCGGCTTGAGCCAACTTCTGAGCCGGCTTGAGCCTAAGCCAATTTTTCGGCTCCGGCCTCGAGGTCGGAGCCGTAAAAACTCGGCTTTTTAACAACACTAGTGGAAAGGCCTATCGTAATCGAGATTGAGTTATTGTATTGATAATACGAGAAGGTAAATTAAGATTTAAGATGATTTTGATTAGTCTGGTATAATTATTTACTATCATACACCAGTAAAGTTTATAATAAATAGAAATTTAGGTGAACAGAAGAGAAATAATTATAAATTTTGTTCTCTGTCCTAAGCTCAACGTAAATTAGTTTTAAATTTTCTCGCCGAACATATGAATTGATGTTATTACTTATTTCAGTAGTGTACATTGGATAAATATATTTGATAACATCCATTCTCCAAATTCGGCTAAAATATTTAATTGACCTTTCTTCAATTACTCAAAATATTATGCCCCCCCTCCTTTCCAATAAAGCTCTCGAACAAATCCCCAATTCCGTCAAGTTATGGAAGCGCGCAGTTGAGCTTGAAGAGGACCAAGAGGACGCCAAGGTAATGTTGAGTCGATCTGTCGAATGCTGCCCTCAAAGCGTGGATCTTTGGTTGGCTCTTGCCAGACTTGAATCTTACGAAAATGCTAGAAAAGTTATTTTTGCTATAATTTTTTTCGTGTAAAATAGAAGGAATTTTTTTTGGTAGGGGGTGGGGGTATATTAAGAACAACTAAAAGCTTTCATAAGGAATTATTACTCTGCATTTTAGTAAGATAAAACTAAAATTTATTGTCCTTATTTTTTTTCTATATTCTAGGTTCTGAACAAGGCCAGAGAGAATATTCCCACCGATCGAAGTATATGGATAACTGCCGCCAAGCTGGAAGAAGTCAAAGCTAGAGAGCCAAAAGATTCCAATGCCGAAACCGAAAAAGAGAAGACCGAGAAAGGTTAGTAATAAAAAAAAGAACGACTTAATATAAATAAGAATCAGTTATTTCCAATCTGAGTTTTAAAATATTTTTACCACGAAGATATAAATTATTTAGATGGTCATAATTCATAAACAATTTTGCCGGAATTTTTTATATAAAAAGGATACTATAAAAATGTATGTGCTTTATTTTAAGAATTTTTAAACAGTTTCTAGTTCCATCCCACCCTTCCCTTTATTTGTTCAATAATGTTATTTTCTTTTTTTTTAAAACAATTTAAGATCCCGCCAAAAAAAGCATGGCATGGAAGATTATAGAAAGAGCCAAAATATCCCTTAGCGCCAATGCCGTTGAGATAAACCGGGATCAATGGATTCAGGATGCGGTTAACGCGGATATATCCGGCTATCCAGAAACTGCAAGGGTATATTAGAAGAAGAAAAATCAGAATATTTTTTAAGTTTTAAAGTTAAGGGAGAATTGAATGAATTAAAGATGATCGAGGTTTAAGCTAAAGATGGATTTATGATCACTAATCTCCTCCAAAAATTCTTTATCATTATGAACCGAATAGATATATCTTACCTGACATCTTAATTTTTGGGGGTGATCGTATAATATATAATTTTACCTTTATTTGTATCATTTCAAGTTTGAGATCATATTAGACTAAATGGTATACATAATTTTTAGAGAGAATAACTTCCAAACAGAACTAATAAAGATTGATTTTTTTTTAAAAAAAAGGAAAGAAGTCGTACACACATCATTTTAATCGCACTTATAAACAAGAGCAATAAAATTAATAAAAACGTGTTTATCAAAAGTCAAATTAATGAGTAATATAAATATTTAGGGTTTAAGGGAGTACCTTGAGAACGATTGCTATTTCTTCATTAATTTTTAAAAAAGTTAATCCTACCAATGAACCAGCATTTCTTTTTTAAAAAAGGAGAAATTTTATCATATATATATTGTCTCTTTGGGATTTACATATGCAAATAAATGGGAAATTTTAATTTATTTAATTTAAAATACTTTTTTTAGGACAAATATTCATCGTTTTAAAAATAAGTGGAATTTATTTAATTCTAAATAACAAGATTATATATCATAATTATTAATGCTGTAAACGTTATTTCGAAATACCTTGCAAAAAAACACGTAACCATAATTCTCGAGAAAAAAGTAATATGTTACTTAAAAAAATATTATTTATTTATTTTTTTCTACTAAAATTAAAGTATCGTTTTGCGTTATCGATACTCAAAAAAAAGCAATGGCGTTACTTTACAACACTAATCATTATCGATCAAATAACTTTTTTACCATATCACCGATACATATATTCTTTATATAAATATTTTTTTTCAGTTGTTAATTTTTTTTTATTCTTGTTAGACCATCAGTCATGATTTATGATAACTATCTAATCTCGTTTTTTAAGGCCATAATCGACCAAGTGGTTCAAATGGGAGGGATTTCCTTGCCCACCATATCCGCCATACCCGAGGACCAAAATACCGAAAAAGATGGGGCCGAACAAGAAGGCGACTATGTGCGCGACGGGCTTCTCGAAGATGCGGAAGCGTGCGAAACCAAGGGGGCCTACGAATGCGCGCGCGCTATTTACGCTCACGTGCTGCTTCGATTTGGTAAAGATGGGAAAGAGGCCTGGCTTCGGGCTGCCCATTTCGAAAAACATTACGGGACTAGGTCATTGACAGAATTATTTTGTATTTTTTAATTTGCAATATTTTCTTTCATTATTTTTTTTTTTCGACCGTATTAATTTAAATGTTTGTACTAGGCTAACTTTTTGTAATTTTGCGAACATCTAATTGTGATGCATAGGGAGGAATTTTTATTTACGGGGAGAAGGGGCAAAATGGTACAAGCTTGTAAGATTATAATAGTAATATGCTGCTAAATATAAATATTAAATTTTATCAATTTTAATAATGAGCATTATATTTAATTTAATTACATAAAACCAGTTTAAAAGAATTCACAAATTTTGTTTAATGATAGGGCGGAAATTTCCGTTACATCCTTCTAACTTTCCCCTGTTTTTGCGGGAAAGTAGGATGTAACTGGATGCCTTGGCCTTTATGGCTTTGGCATCCCTAAGGCTTTATTAATTAAATCAAAATTTTATATATCACAATTATAAAAGAAAACAATAATGAATTATACGATATTATTCTAATCACTTATCCATATTTTATTTTGAAATATCTTAAACAGAGAGTCACTCGACGCTCTTCTCGATAAGGCTGTCGAAAATTGTCCCAGAGCCGAAACGCTATGGCTCATGAACGCCAAACACAAATGGCTTAATATGTCCAATCCCGCTAACCCTAACGTCTCAGTGGAAGCTGCCAGGTTAATTAAATAAATTTTTATAAAAAAGAGTTTTTATGCGCTATTATATATAAAAAATACGTTATGTAAAGTAAAAAGATGTTCTTTGAAGTTAGTCGATATTACCTATTATCCATACCTAACTAAACCTTTTTTATTCCCTGAGGAAAAATAACTTTTCAACGACATTTGAATGGTTATGTCTACTAAGTAACATCACCGCTACATTTATTCCTACTTTACATTTAAATTATTATTATCGATAAAAATTATATACACATTAAAGGGATGTTCTTTCTAAGGCCTTCCGATTCAACCCGAACAGTGAAGATATTTGGCTAGCCGCCGTGAAACTCGAATCAGAAACCGGTCATTTTGAAAGGGCCCGTAAACTGCTCAATCGAGCCCGCACATCCGCTCCCACTCCGAGGGTTCTCGTCAAATCGGTCAAGTTGGAGTGGGGCGCCATGCAAAATTTGGAAAACGCCTTGCAGCTCATAAATGATCCCAGTTTTGCCGTTAGATTTGAGGGATTTGATAAGGTAGACTACTATTATTTTAAAGAGTCAAAACGAGAGATTTAATCGTTTTTTTTGGAAGTGAGATACGAATTTTACGTGATACGTGAAATATAGCGCATATGCCCTCTAACCGTTGAGTAAACAACAGAGCTACGCTAGGTATTCCTCACTTCCATCTAATTGGAAAAACGAAATTAATTTGGGTACGAAAGTAAAAAAATGTGAGGAGCCCTCTACACGTTTGTGGGCAAGCCACACGTACTTGTACGCACCTAGGCGTCTATAGGCTCCAAGAGAAAGAGCGGGGCAGAGATAAAGAGCCTATGCCCAAGAACTGCTGCATAAGTTAATTACTTTAAGGGTGGGTTGTGGCTGATTTTAAGTTTAAAAAAATTTTGTTCAGGCATATATTGTTTCAAACAACATTTAAAATTTAAAGTACATACCAATTAAGTTTTAGTTTGTCCTGATCTAGTAGCAACACAGTGGTTTATAAATATTAAGAAATTATTTATTTCAGATATCTATCCTTAATACGGAAAAGTTTTTTGATAGAGTTTTTGCAATTATTTAGTTTGATGAATTGCTTCATGTTTAAGTTAAGTTCCATAACATCTTTTATTGTTTTATAGTACCATAGTGATTTGTATTTAGTGTATTCTTTTTTTTATAAGTGTATAGCCATTTAATTGCATCACGAACTAGATTATGTTCTGAGTTCCTTATGATGTGGGTGAGGAATTGAATGCGCCGTTTTTTTAAGGTAATGTTTATTGGGGTGTGTTTTGATACCTTCCATAGATTATTGTTGGATATTACTCTCGGGTAGAAGATTCCGTTAATGATTTGGAGGCAGTTATTTATGAATGATTGTAATTTTCTGTTATCCGTTTTGTTTAATTCCCATAGATCTCCTCCATATAGCAATTTTGGAATAACTGTGGAATTAAAAATTCTTAGTCTGGTGTGTACAGATATTTCTTTTGTTTTCCATATTTTCATGTATTTATAGAAGGCTCCTCTTGCTTTTTGTATTCTTATTTTCAGCTCTTCTTTATAACCTCCTGTGTTGTCAAACATGACGCCTAGATATTTTATTTTGTCAACTATTTTGATTTCATTTCCATCGATTGTGAAATTTAGATTTTGAGTTGCGTTTGGAGAAGAAAGAATACAAGTTTTTTTGAAATTTATTTTTAACCCCATTTTTAGGCTAAGGGTTCCTAATAAATATAGCATATCTTTCGTTTCGTCGAAGCTAGTCGATATGATGACTATGTCATCGGCATAAGATATTATTTTGTTTTCTAAACGTATTGTTGTGTTTGAGCTTATTTCTATTAGATTTGCGCATCCTAGGACCTCTTTTATAATACTGATTATGATATTAAACAGTAACGGTGATAGAGTACAGCCTTGTTTCACACTTTTTTTTATTCTGAAGGTGGGGGATATTTTATTGTTGACTTTAAAGCAGGCAGATAGTTTAGATTAATGATTTCTCAGAATGTAGATAATATTGGGTTCGATCTCACTTTCCAAGAGTGTCCTCCATAGGGCCTCGTGATTCACAGTATCGAATGCTCTACTAAAATCTATAAAAGTGAAGAAGGCAGGGATTTTATATTTGTAGCATTTTTGTATTGTTATTTTTAATGCTAGAATTGGCTCTAGAATATTTTTATTTGGCCTATAAGCACAGATGTATTTGGGTAGTAAGTCTGGAATTGAAGACATGATCCTGTTTTTTAGAAGGACCATGAAAATCTTAGATACGATGTAAGGGCTACCGCACGATAGTCTTTAAACTCTCTTGGGTCATTTATTTTGGGAAAATTGCATAAATAGGACTTATTCCATTCTACAGGTGTTTTGTCACTATCCCAGATTTTGTTATATAGAGATAACAGGAAAGAGGATACAGTTTTGGGTGCTGTTTTTTGTTCCGCTGTTATATTATCAAGCCCAGGGGCTTTATTATTGCGTTTTTTAAAATTACTTTTTTGATTCAGTGGAGAAACCGGATGGGGGTGGAGTTACATGCTCATTTGTGTTTGTCTGGCAGACGGTTTTCCTTGAATCAAAGACTGTCATATAGTAATCTAACCATAATGTTATTTGTTCATCCTGGTCCGATATTAAATTTCCATTTGCTAAGACTAAAGAAGGTAGCTTCTCGAAACTGTAGGGTTTGCAGAAATATTTTAGTTTATTATAATATATTCTGTTTTCTTTCATATCTTTCTCTATTTCAAACGCTTTTTTTGCCACAAATTCCCTTCTATCACTTCTCAGCAATTTCTGTATCTCTTTTTATAGTTATCTGTTCAAGTTATTGCCTTCTTCCCTTCTATCACTTCTCAGCAATTTCTGTATCTCTTTTTATAGTTATCTGTTCAAGTTATTGCCTTCTCTAAGCTGGCTGATTTTTCCTACAGTTTCATTGGATAACCACTCTCTCCTTAAGTATACATTTATATTTGGTTACATGTTATAGGATTCAGTTATATCTTTCTTGAAAAGATTCCAACATATATCTACGTTCCCATTTGAGGTTATATTTAGGAAATTTTCTCTCTTCCTGACCAACATTTAATCAAATTGTTGTATATCCTCTTGTGATTTTGCTTTCATTTGTTTACGGTAGGAGAGGTTTAAGAAATTTATTCTATGTCTGGTCATATTTGGGCCTATCTCTTCGCGATATCCCCATATATTTTTTATTGTCATTTTTGCCACTATCGCTCTGTGGTCTGGCAATTTAATAATAGTGGACACTATAACATCGTCAAACCACCCATGAATATTTGATATAATGAAATCGATTTGAGATTTTTGGTTAGCTCTTACAAAGGTGTATGTGTTTATTTCTCGATGGGGAAAGAAGGTGTTTTCTATTTTGAAGTTTTTGTTTTTACAATAATCAAGTATTTTTTTACTATCTTCATTGTTGGTTTGTTGTATAGTTGCATTTCCGATAGTGTTGGTATTAATATATTCTACGCTTTTGCCAATTTTCAGATTGAGATCTCCTAGTATTATAATGTTATGTCTCAATGGCAGAGAATCAATCAAGGTAGTGACTATGTCAATAAAATTTAACCTATCATTTCTTCTTGGTGGGGCATATATATTTACAATTATTGTCGGTTTGAATTTTGTGTTTAGATATAGGAGACCGCATCTTTCTGATATGGGTACAAATTTAATAATTGATTTTTCCATCTTTTTGTTTGCTAGGAATGCGACTCCTGAACAGCTATTAGAGGTGGTACTGGAACAAAAGAGTTTATAATCTTTAAAATCTGCTGTATTATTCCCTGGGCAGTGGGTTTCTTGGATGCATATAAAATTTCATATATGCAAAATCTCTAAGCAGTACTGTTAATTTATTTTTCATTCCGTTTATATTTAGAGACGCAATCCATAACTTACCATAAACTGTGTGCTTCGAATTTATGGGTGCCATATTATTTACCGTTCTAAGATAGGAAATCAAAATCTAAAAGTTTTGTAGACCAAAAAGAGAAATCAAAAGAATAACTATATTATTATTAACTATATGTTTCTCAAATGTGTTAAAGACTGGAGATAGGAGTATATAATTTAGTAATAGCCTATGATTATTTAGAGCGAAAAATAAACCGTGTGTGTCAAAACTATATTTAATCGCTCATGGGAAATAGAAGAGCAAATAAGGCTCATTTCCGATTTGGTAGGTTTTGTATGGAAAGGTAGTATTGACTATCTTACATTGTTTAGTTTAAATTTTAAATCACTACCTTGATTGATTCTCTGCCATTGAGACATAACATTATAATACTAGGAGACCTCAATCTGAAAATTGGCAAAAGCGTAGAATATATTAATACCAACACTATCGGAAATGCAACTATACAACAAACCAACAATGAAGATAGTAAAAAATTACTTGATTATTGTAAAAACAAAAACTTCAAAGTAGAAAACACCTTCTTTCTCCATCGAGAAATAAACACATACACCTTTGTAAGAGCTAACCAAAAATCTCAAATCGATTTCATTATATCAAATATTCATCGGTGGTTTGACGATGTTATAGTGTCCACTATTATTAAATTGTCAGACCAGAGAGCGATAGTGGCAAAAATGACAATAAAAAATATATGGGAATATCGTGAAGAGATAGGCCCAAATATGACCAGACATAGAATAAATTTCTTAAAACCTCTCCTTAACCGTAAACAAATAAAATCAAAATCACAAGAGGATATACAACAATTTGATTAAATGTTGGTCAGGAAGAGAGAAAATTTCCTAAATATAACCTCAAATGGGAACGTAGATATATGTGGAATCTTTTCAAGAAAGATATAACTGAATCCTATAACATGTAACCAAATATAAATGTATACTTAAGGAGAGAGTGGTTATCCAATGAAACTGTAGGAAAAATCAGCCAGCTTAGAGAAGGCAATAACTTGAACAGATAACTATGGAAAGAGATACAGAAATTGCTGAGAAGTGATAGAAGGGAATTTGTGGCAAAAAAAGCGTTTGAAATAGAGAAAGATATGAAAGAAAACAGAATATATGAAGTTTATAATAAACTGAAATATTTCTGCAAACCCTACAGTTTCAAGAAGCTACCTTCTTTAGTCTTAGCAAATGGAAATTTAATATCGGACCAGGATGAACAAATAGCATTATGGTTAGATTACTATATGACAGTCTTTGATTCAAGGAAAACCGTCTGCCAGACAAACACAAATGAGCATGTAACTCCACCCCCATCCGGTTTCTCCACTGAGGAAATCAAAAAAGTAATTAAAAAAATACGCAATAATAAAGCCCCTGGGCTTGATAATATAACAGCGGAACATCTAAAAACAGCACCCAAAACTGTATCCTCTTTCCTGTTATCTCTATATAACAAAATCTGGGATAGTGACAAAACACCTGTAGAATGGAATAAGTCCTATTTATGCAATTTTCCCAAAATAAATGACCCAAGAGAGTTTAAAGACTATCGTGCGGTAGCCCTTACATCTACAGTATCTAAGATTTTCATGGTCCTTCTAAAAAACAGGATCATGTCTTCAATTCCTGACTTACTACCCAAATACATCTGTGCTTATAGGCCAAATAAAAATATTCTAGAGCCAATTCTAGCATTAAAAATAACAATACAAATTTTAGAAAATGTAAATTTGTTTTGCTATTCGTTAAATTTCAGTTGAGATTTCATAAAGCTATGATATTTTTTATTTCTAACCCCCCCCCCCTATAAAGCGCATTTTTTTAAAATTAACTGTGCTAAAATACCTGCAGCATTATAAAATCTGGTTATGTATTTCCCATTAGAACAGCTATTTGTAACCCAGCCTAAGACCTAGTAGCATCGATTGAACAGTCTTAATCTCTACGAATGCTGCATTAGGCCCTAGCTCTAGTTATGTAGCGCTCTATTCAATTCTTAACTGCCGCAATAAATATTCCTTAGTATATAAGCAACAAATATTTCTATTTTAAATGCTTCCTCCCCTTTTATAGTAAATATCAAATTAAAATTCTTCTTGGAAAATCAAATCAGATTGTAATATCATATTTTTTATAGTAAAATAAATAGTTTTATATATAATATAAATATTATTTGGCCTCGTAAAAAGTTATCATTTTACACTTCTTAAGCCACTTCCAAAAAAAATCATTTTTAAGCGCGTTTTCAGCCATTTTTTAAAAAATATTTTCAACAAACATATAATAATATTTCTAATTAATTTTTTTAATTTTCAAATAATTAGAATATTTTTAAAAAAAAAATAAGGGAGAAATTTTTTTTTTTTTTAAAATAAATATATATTTTTAAAAAGATATATATTAAAAATTATATGAACCAAAATATTAATCAAAAGATGGCGAGTGGGTGGGGTGGTGGTTTAGAACATATATTGCAAATATTGTCATACCGAAGGGCGATAAAATTGGATCTGCATATGTTGAATTTATTTCTTCTTCCTATTATTTAAGTTATAATATATTTCTTAAATTGTGATTAATGAAAATATAAGTGACCTATTAATTTATTTTTTTTAAAAACTTGTTAAGGGGGGTAGGTGCATCTCAGATGACATTTAATCTTTAGGGAAAAAATCAAATAAATATCTGGAACATCTATAATTTTGCGAAAAAAGGATTAATTTGAAAAATTATTTAATCTTGTTTGGAAATATAAAATAAAGCAATTTACCGAAACCAATAACATATAATAATACCTAGACTGACTATGCATTCATGAAAAGTAATACATCAATGAAAACAGCTGGTTAACGATACTTTGATTACCCATATCATTATTAAGAATTTTAAACGAGAGACCAATTTATTCCTATGTCTGACTCAAACTTTGATAAAGAATTTTCTGATCATCGAAATAATAAGGTACTACCATGAGAATAATTACTATATTATGAGTTACCAAAATGGCAGGTCCAAGTGATTTGCATTCAACGACGCTTACAAATGCATTATTATGAATGCATCGTCAGTCTAGGTATTATTATATGTCATTAGTGGAAACCTGCCTAGGAAAACCCGTTCTGAAAAAAGGGCTACTTATCTTAAATATTATCTTGAACGTTTTTCGTTTGAAATGATATTTTTACAAAGTTAATCTAGGTATTATTATTATATGTCATTGGTGGAAACCTGCCTGGGAAAACCCGTTTTGAAAAAAAAGCCTACTTATCTTAAATATTATCTTGAACGTTTTTGAAATGATATTTTTACAAAGTTGTAAAAATGCGATATATTTATTATCTATCCTTATATATTGTAGAAAGAAAGAAATTTCTTAAAAGCTCTTTTGTATAAATACTATAAATTTTTTTTTTTAAAAAAAAAGATATGGATGATGAAGGGTCAAATATATGCGCAGATGAAAAAATTTGTAGAAGCCAAGGAGGCTTACACCGAAGGGGTAAATAAAAATAAATTTATATTACTATATTTATATATATAATAAGATTTATCTGATCAGAATCCGCCTATAATCTGCAGCACAAATTTTAAATAGCAAATACTAAACTTTAGTAGAAAAAATAATAATATTTCTCAGAATCTAAAATATCTGAGAAGATTCAGGGATAATCTTTAAGAGTGTATTAAAAACCCGAAATATTTATTATATTCTTATTTTATTGTTGTAATTAAAAAATTCCCGAATATTTTTTATAAATAATACGCAGATCAAAAAATGTCCCACATCCATACCTCTCTGGGTCCTAAGTGCCAAGCTCGAAGAAACCAATGGTCAAGTTATCAAGGCTAGGGCCATCATGGAAAAGGCCAGACTCAGGAATCCTGCTAACGAAGATTTATGGTAAAACAACTCTTGGGGAGATGGGGAAGATTTCGCTTCTTAAAATACATTATTTTATTTATTTTTTACACTATCCTAAACCCAAAGCTTATTTACATTTCGTAAGTGTTGTTAAAAGGCTCATTTTGAGCCGATTTTTAAAAACTCAATATTTTAGCCGGAAAAATATTGTGCAAGCCTTCGGATTTTGTTCATAGGTGGTTTGAACATCTATTAACGAAATCTGGAGGCTTAGACAATATTTTTCGGGCTAAAATATTGAGTTAGCCGTTTTTAAAAATCGACTTCCGTTTAACAACAACATTCTAAAGGTACAAAATGTCCCTAAGTTTTTTTTTGTTTAGACAATTATACGGGTGTAGCTTTAATTATGCAAATCGGTTTAATAAAAACATAACATGATCAAGGCTGGAGTCTATCAGGGCGGAACTTAGGGCCGGTAACAAGGATTTCGCGGATTCTTTGATGGCTAAAGGTTAAAAAAATATTATTTAAAAATTTTTCAAATCATTTTAACACAAAAAAAATTATAATTTTCAAAATAACCCGCACAATCGCATAGGAAATGGAAATAAAACCTGGTGTAACTTGATATTTTAACTTTTTAAATTAACTACCTTTAATTATACTGACATTTATGACAGACGTATAATTTTAAAAGTCTATTATTTAGTAATATATGACTAAGGTGTGAGGTGTAATGTTAAAAGCTTCTTTTATTTATTAATACTGACATTTATGATTGACGCGTGTTAAAAGTTTCTATATTTAATTTAATAATATTGACACTCATGATTAACATATAATGTTAGAGGTTTATATAATTATATTGGCACTTATGACTGACAGGTAATGCTTAAAGTTTCTATGATTAGGAATATTGAAATTTATGAGTGACAGATAATTACAATTTTTTCATATTGAAATTTATGAGTGACAGATAATTACAATTTTCTAATATTGAAATTTATGAGACAGGTAATATTACTGATATTTAGTAATATTAACATTTATATTTTCGACCTTTTTAAATTTTTTATACCTATAAATAAATTAACGTCTAAAATATTAATTAATTTTAAAAAAGTTTGATCAAAATCTAAATACACAAGGTAGGCTGAATATGGTTTAATTTATTCATATTTAAACATAAATTACATATCATTCATCAAATCATTCACTATTGTACTTTTTATAAAAATAAATATTAATTAAATAAAATGCTATAAATATATTGCATAATTTCGCTATTGAATAACATACAAAAAGACGAACTATTAAAAAAATAAAATGCTATAAATATAATTAGAATTCAACTCACCCAAAGGATGACAAACTTAAAAATAACAATTAATAAATAATATAAAGTGTAATAACATTTAACAAAAAGATGCTTACCGATTATACTTTCAAATAAATTGTAATAAATATAATGAAATAAAAATATTAGAATAAATATTAATCACATTAATATAATTCTAACAAAATGATTGTTATTTTGATTGCATAAATATGTATCTTCTTTAAATTTTTTTAATATTATTAAAAAAATTCATGGGCAATTAATAAGCCCACTTATATTGGGTATAGTTTAATATATTTGTCTGCAGAAATGTGGCCATAGGTAATATTTCCATTTCTGTTGCCCAGACACCGTTTCCCATAACATTTCTGTTTACTAGATATTCCTCTACGGATATCCCATAAATTTTCCAATTTCCAATTTGAAATCTACGCTCCACATAAAGACAACGCATTCCTCCCTCAAATAATTATAATTATCCTGGCTATTTGATATTTTTTTTATTTTATACCATAAACATGTTAAATAATTTAATATTAAAAGATACCCTAAAAAAACAATTTCCATCACCCACAATGTGATCGGCTGTGAAAATATCTTTTAATATACCATTTTTATCTTGGGATAACGGCCAATTACTTTGAAATGCAACCTTTTAGAGTGATATACCTTTAGTTCCTAGTTGTTGGGAAGGAAAAGTTCACCAATTTTCTTGGGTATTATTTCATCCACAATAATTTCGTCATTTAAATCTGATAAAATAATAACCTATTTTTAAAATAATATTAACCTTACCCTAATCTTGTACGCCTACATAATATCCTTCCTTTCTCACTACCTATTGTTAGATCTTCACCAAATGTATCTGTATCCAAAAAAAATATATTAAATAATTATATATATTATACCCTTTCTCTTGACACAGTTTATTTTAGTATCCTCCTTTAATTTTCCAACCCTAGGATTTTACCTTTATTAAAAATACAATTTTTTCAATTTTAAAAAAATGAAACTTTCTCCTGCAACTTTTATTCCACTGGACATTTCTTCTAATAGAAATAATATATTTTCTTTTTTCTAAATGCATTTGATTACCTTCTCCTCCCACTATAGTTTTAAGAAGCATACAGACTAATTATTTTATGAATTAACTGTATTTATTACCTTGATCTTGAACAGCCTATAGTTTCACAATGTACAATTTTTTTTTGTTTTTTTGACTGTATCTTTACCATTTAAAAAAGTTATATTCATTTAAAAAATAATAACTTTGTTTCCTTACATATAATGTTTTAAATTACTTAGATTAGCCTTGATATGTAAAATTTTTCCTGTTGTCGAAGATAATTCTACATTGCCTAAATATGTATAACTATTTTGTTAAAAATTATAATTTTAATAATTATATATCGGCCTACCCAAGGCTGGAACATTTTCCCTCCTTTCCTGCCAGCCCGACGATTATTCCATACAAGCACTCTATCATTTATATAATAAAGTGCATTTTTAGCTGCATTACGAGTTTTATAATCACGTTGCTGCTTAAGCTGAGCCTTTACAATATTTTTTGTTGCAGTCTTGAATATGTCTTTCATATTGTCTGCCGTTCTTTGGTAATTGCTTTCGAAATCTGTGTCAGAAAGATCATCAAGATCTGTATCTGGTTCTCTATCATCCTTATAATAATTTTATACAAATAGTGATATATCTTACCCCGCAAGGCAGTAAAGCTTTCCTGCCATACATCATCTCATATGGCGTGAATTTTGAGGATTCATGCCTCGATGTATTCTAGGCAAATACTATACCATTGAGAATTTCAGGCCAATCTTTCTGATTGCCTTTTGTACACATCAAGAGTGAATTTTGAAGCGTACGATTGGCTCTCTCTATCATGCCATTATCCTGAGGATGGTAGGCGCTTGTCACTCTCTGCTGGATTCCCATGAGTTTGTGATATTCATTGCTCACTTGATTTACAAACTCGCGCCCCTGATCATTAATTTTGTAAATATGATAAATATTATTATATAAATTTCATCAACCTTGACTCTGCGATGCTTGCATGACAGTGAATATAAAAAGAGGGTCACTGAATGGGCAGTCTTATCCTTTAAAGATTGTGCTTCGATATATTTTGAAAAATAATCGACAACAACTGCAATATCCATTGTTGCACTCTGGCAAAAAACATAGATGGAATAAGAATAGACTGCATTTTCAAGCCTGTTTTGTCAAATCGGTGATTAAATCATTGAAACTCAATGACATCTTGTCGCATTCCTTGCAACCAATGTCTAAATGATACATCATTATATACACTAACACTATATAATTGAAATGCTATGTTGTTTAGAAAGTTTTAAGCTTGTTAAAAGAGAAGAATATATTGGTATTGTCTGATGTATAAACGATGGACATAAATATGTTGCAGTTGCTGTCGATTATTTTTCAAAATATATTGAAGCAGAACCTGTAAAGGATAAACTGCCCATTCAATTACCTTATATTTATATTTATTGTTATGCAGACATGGCAGAGCGAGGTTGATGAAATTTTTATAATAACCTAATGATGTATATCATATTTATAGATCCAAATTAGTGATCAGGGACGCGAGTTTGTAAATCAAGTTAGCAAAGAATATCACAAACTCGTGAGAACCCAACAGAGAGTGGCCAGCGCCTACTATTTTCAGGCGAATGGCATGGTAGAGAAGGCCAATTTGACGTGTACAAAAGTCCATCAGAAAGATAGGCCTGGAGTTCTCCCTGGTATTGTATTCGCCTACAATACATCAAAAAATGAATCCACAAAATTCACGCCACATGAGATGATGTATGACACAGGAAAGCTTTATTGCCCTGTGAGATATGATATATATATATCACTATTAGTATAAAATTAATATTCATAATATATATTTATTTTATTTAAGGATATTTTGGATATTAGAGAACCTTTATATAAATCTTGATGGTCTATCTGACACAGAGTTTGAAAGCAATTATCAAAGAATCATATATGATATCGGGCTGACAGTATAGGAGGGAAAATTTTGCAGCGGCAGGCCTATATATAATTATTAAAATTGTTAATAGTAAAACTATAATTTTTAACAAAATATTAATACATATTTAGACAATGTAAAATTATCTTCTTCAGCAGGATAAATTTAACATATCAAACCTAACCTAAGTAATTTAAAACATTTCGCTAGGGGGGGATAAAGGTATTATTTTTGAAATATACAAATATAACTTTTTGATGAGTTGAAAGCTATTTAATTGCGAATGTATATTATATTACATTTTATATTTTTTTCGTACAATAGTTAATCATTTGATGAATGCATTTGATGAATGATATGTAATTTATGTTTAAATTTAAATTAGTTCAACCATAATTAACCTACTTTGTCTATATAGATGTTGATCAAACTTTCTTTAAATTAAACTTTAACGTTTTTGACGTTCAATTATTTATATGTATAAAATAATTTAAAAGGGTCGAAAATTAAACTTTATGTTAATATTACTAAATATTAGAAATTTTAATAATATTGGTCTCTTAAATGTCAATATTACGAAATATTAAAAAATTTAAATTACCTGTCACTAATAAGTGTTAATCTAAATATAGAAACTTTTACCATTACCTTTCAGTCATAAGTGCCAATATTACTAAATATATAAGGCCACATTCATAGTGGGATCCGATCCGGCACGATTTAACAGCTGATCGATTTTTAAATCGGTTTATGAAAATCAATTTTTCTTTATTAATGTTTCTTAGGTTATTATCATGTATAGAATTAAAGATAAAATTATTATTAAAAAAATTGATCTCATAAACAAATTTTATTAATCAATCAGCTGTTAAATCGTGTCGGATCGGATCCCACTATGAATGCGGCCTAAACTTTTAACATTATGCGTTAGTCATAAAGTGCCAATATTACTAAATATAGATACCTTTAACATTACGCTTTATTCATAAATTTCAGTATTACTAAAGGAAGTTAATTTAAATTTAAGTAAAATATCACGTTACCCTTATTAACACTATTTATCAAAGGGGGAGCTAATGTATCACGTTACACCTGTCTAACCCATAATTTATTTTTAATTTTATTAACTTGGCAATTATAATTTATATAATGGGTTATTCCATGTCAGATCAAACAACTTTCGGTCGACTATCAATTTCGATAAAAAAAAATTGTAGGCGCGTTATTCATGTTCTAATAATATCTGAAACCAAATTTTAGCTCATTGGCAATTATATTACGTGAGATAATGGGAATTAAATATATATTAATGTTAAATAATTACTTTTAAATTAACAACGAAATTATGGTAAACATCAAATTAAATTTTTGTAAAATATTTAGAAAATTTATATTTCGTGATTATTATGAACTTTCATTTTTTTCTTCTATTATTTATTTACTATTTTTATAATAATTTCTTTAATAATTAGCTCCACTTTGTAATTAGTTTAAAAAAAATATCGCGAATAATGTATTTAAAAAAACGTTATAGATGGCTTTATAAAACATTTTAATGCAATAAAAGACTTTTTTAAAAATATCGTTTCCTATTTTTGTACATTTATTCTCCATTATCTTAGGTTGGTACTTAACCGTTTCAGATAAAACATATATAACGTGCCTACAACTTTTCATCGAAATTGAAAGGAGTCAGCCTAAAACTCGATTTTCTTTTTCATTTGATATACCATTTATATATCTACATTAGCAATGCAAGAATGTCCCAACAGTGGTAAGTTATGGGCAGAATCTATATTCATGGAATCCAGACCTCATAGAAAGACCAAAAGTGTCGACGCCCTTAAACGTTGCGAACATGATGTTAGAGTTCTCTTGGCCGTTTCTAAGTAATAAAATTTGTCTAAGATAAAAGTATTTCAAACTGGTTTTTTTTTTACGATGAATAAACTATAGGAAAAAAAATTATCTTAAAATTTTTACAAGTTGATAAATATTTAAGTATAAGATTAATAATGATAGTAAAAGGAAGTAAAAGATTATTCGCAGGTATTTGAATAAATAGCTCATACTTTTGCCTGTTCATAATTGTTGAGGGCAGTCCAAATTCTGCATCTTTGCTTTTTAGCGATACACGCATTTAAAAAGTATTATGAACATAGCCATTATTAGAGGTCTGCATCCCATCCAATGTTTTAAAAAAAATTTAACCCGCCCTCCCAGCCTGCCCATTTGTCTAAAATTCCTTACCTGCCCACCCGCCCGTTAGTCTAAAATTTTTTACCCGCCTGCCCATTATTTATAAAAATTTTTTAACTCAAGCCCGCTTACAAAATTTAATTATGGTCATTCTATCATTTAATTAAGCATCTAATAAAAATATTTCAGCATTAAACCTCTACAAAAAGTTTATAATTTAGGAAATTAATATAAGTATAAAAATAATCAATGTAAATTATGGACAATTTATTTGATCAAATTGAATATTTATGAAAAAAATATAAATGTAAAATTATTGTTATATGTAATTATAATGCAAAAATAATAATAAATCGACATTTTCTGGATTCAAACACGTTCTTCTTTGTTCTAAAAATCTTCCAGCAATGCTAAATCCGCGTTTGGAAGAAGCACTAGAAAAGTTTTATTACATTCCCATAAAAGGAAATTTTTAAATAGTCAAAAATGTTTATTTATTCTAAGAAAAAAGTTTTATTGTTGTGTTTATTACATAATATAGTTTGGTAAATGTTCTTCACTTAAAAAAAACGATTGGTACAATAAAAATAGAAATATTGTTATAGATTATTTAAACAATTAATTTTTTTAGTTTGTTTTTGAACAAAAATTTTAAATTTCCTTAACCCACCCGCCCAATGTTTAAATTTCTTAACTCGCTCGCCCAGCCCTCCCATATGCAGACCTCTAGCCATTATATTTCAGATTTAAATAAAAACGGTGGTGACACCAATAGTCGCCAATAATCAAACCCGATACTTTTATAGAACAGAAGAAAAATTTTCCACTTGTATAATTTTTCTGTAAAGGTTTTAAAATATGTATGTCATAGTGGTTTAGAAAAATTTGGGATGCTTCATTGACCTTGGTTTTTTTTAGCAAATTTATAAAATTTTTATCATTTAGAAATTGGGGTTTTTTTAAATTTGAAAGACATCTAATATTTACCTTGAAATATATTCCAGGATATATAAAATATCTTGTCTATTAATTTCAGACAATATTTAATTGTGAGGTTTTGCCTATTTTTTAAAAAATTTATATTTAAAAAAAAACAATATATAGGATATATCGGTGTTTGTATCTGCCAGTTTATAATTGACATTTATGGACGTTTGTCCAGAATGGATGTTTATATTTTAATCACATGATTTTTTTATAGATTCTATATAAGCTTTTATATTTAGTATTTGGGCAGTTTTAATGTACAATATGGATGTTTGTTGAATTATAGAATGTTAATTAGAATGTAAAGTATTACAACATTACATTTTTTCATTATCAATAAACATCTATTATTTGCCAATAAAATTAGAGAGGTTCAAAAGTTTCTGACAAAGTATATGATTCTGGCAAATGGAGGTCTTTTTTAAAATGGGGAAAAAACGCTTTAAATGATTTAAGTTTTACAATTTTATATTTCCTAAAACTTGCTAAACCCTTACGACGTATTATAAATATTCCAATTTCACAAAGTAGGAAAATATTGATTAATTCAGATGGGTAATCATAAATAAAGTTTTGAAATATCGGGGAATGAATTATTGCATGTTTTTAGGATTGGATTATTGATTGTTTTCGACATATTTCTTTCATAAATCGAAAATGTTTCTTTTAATGTAAACACGGTATAGCATCACATGATTATTACATATGTGATGTGATATAGCATCATGGTTAATTCCATTTTTTTTTAAAATATAGCCTTGACATAATATATACTACTTAAATTTCTAGATTATTTTGGTGCGAAAGGAAACTATCCAAAGCGAAAGATTGGTTTTATCGAACGTTAAAACTTGACCAAGACTACGGAGATACGTGGGCCTATTTTTACCGATTTCTATGCATGCATGGTACAGAGGTACATTATCTGGAAATTTGATCTCATAAAATATTATTTATTTTAAGCAATTTAATGGGATGAAAACAATCTAATAAATTATATACAATATAGTTTATATATATTTGTATGCATCGTCAGCTGATGTTTATAGTATTTTATATCCACTTTTTAAAGAAATAAGTTTTTTTTAATCAATAAATTGATTCTTCGGTGTTCTTTATTTGTTTAATATCAACAATAATGTGAAAAAAACTATTTTATTTTCACTATTATATTATTTTGCTAATTAATGATGACATTAATATGCTAGTTTTAATGGCGATTTATTCAATAGAATTCATTTAAAGTGTGAATTACATATGAGTTAGCCCCATTTTGATTCCCTTTTACTAAACATTTTTGTTTCATACTATATTTTTTTAGAATTTAAGAAGAAAATATACCGCGGATTACTATTCATGTACACTTTATTGCTACACTTTTAATGAATGAATGAATTGTCAATCTATGTTAGTAGGGGTGTACCGATACCACTTTTTGGAGGATGATCCGATCCGATATTCTCGATATTGAATTGATATCGGCCGATTACCGATCCGATATTATATCTAATTTTGTATTCTGTAAAGATACCAATGGTTTTAATTTTTAATATACTTATTAGTATAACATTTATAATTTATCTCTACCATAACTTATATCATTTAATATATTATAATGATCAGTTATATTTTGTATTCAATTTAATTGCAATTCTAAAAGTATATAAAATATTTTTATTGTTAAATCACTTCTATATAACATTAATCTATATACATATTAAGTAATAAACAAATATATTATGAAATTTGAAATAAATAATCAAAATAATATTTAAAATTATATCGAAGATTTCTTTTTAGAATTACCAAATTTTCAAATTTATCAGAGGTCAGCCTGCGGCGATGGTCTGTCAATATCACCAGCTTCACTAAAAAGAGATTCTGAAAAGATTAGCGACATTTTAAACAGAATGCGAAAAAATATACATAAAAATGGATCGAACTTATTTATAAAAATAAATTATTTTAAATATAACTATTAAAAAAATTTATAATATTTTATTATTGTTAAAGACGCCATTATATATCGGATCGGAAAATTTTATAATATTGGCCGATATTCGATATTTTAAAGTGGGTGAAATATCGGCCCTATCCGATATAAAATATCGGTACATCCCTATATGTTAACTTATAACATCATTGGCTAATTTGCGAAAAAAAAATTTAATATATTTTTAAAAAATTAACTAGTCAGAATATTCTAGATCAAGTCATATTATTAATTTGAAAAACTCCCTTTTAAATTTTTTTTATTGACATTTTATAGACTGTATTAAATTTAGTGTATTATTCTTTTTCCATTTCTATTTATTTGAAAAGTATAAACTAAAGATTTATATTTGTTATATTCTGTAAAGAGTTGCTTAAATCACCATTCTTAGCATAATCTATTCCCTTCCATATTTGAACATATGATAGATACCACTTTTACGGGCCTTGTAATCCATAGCCTACGATATATAACACATCTCGATCATTATTAATTTTTTTAAAAGAAATAACTATATTTTTTTTATATAAACAATTGAATGTAATAGGAAGAAAAAGAGGAACTTATTAAGAGATGCGTAAAAGCTGAACCTCATCACGGTGAAATTTGGTGTTCTGTTTCCAAGGATATCAGTAATTGGAAGCTTAAGACTCCGGAAATATTAATTAAAACTTCAGAAATATTGGAAATACCTAAATAATCTTTTTTTTTTATTAATTTATAATTTATTGTAAATTTTGGTGTATATTTTTTATTATTATTATTTAAATTGTGTAATATAACATTAATTGTTATCATTGATTGTTGAGAAACCCTATATTTAAAATATATGAAGATATCATTTGATTGAGTTGGACTTGAATGAAATTTATAGTATTTATTATAGGGTCTAGGAATGTAAACCCTTCCACAAAGAAAAAAGAAGAAAGATCGATTTAAGATTAACATTTAAAAAAAGGGCTAAGGTTCAGGATTTATAGGAAAATATAAATAAATATTTACTCAAAATAACACGATTTTTTTTTTAAATTTATACGCTATATTAATACATACATATGCATACATAAATACAAGTAATGGCTTATTTCATCGCGCAAGCTATCCTAAAATAGAGAGAAGTATTAAAAACCAGAAAATTTTTTATAATGAAAAAAAAAAGAAATATATTTTTTTAGAAATTTTTTTGACACTGGAACCCTCCATTTTTAAAAAGGTTCGAGGTTGGGTTCAGCAAAAATACGAGGGTTCAGGGTACGGTTCACAATCCTGATAAAGGTAATAATAGAATAATTTTCAAAAATATCTAATATACATTTTTAAAAAATAATTTATTGTAGAATAATAAAACGGCTGTCTTAAAAAAAATTGGTTGAGGTGTAAATAATTTTTATTAGACCCAGTCCGGGGTCTAGTAAAATCTATTCTTGCCAGGTGTAAATAATTTTTAATAATAAAGTACATTATTGTAATCTAAGAAAAATCTTTAATTTTTCGTCTATAGTTATAGGATATTTATTAAATTAATAGCTTGATATATTAAATTGACGTTATACGTTCCAGTATATATGTTGTTTTATGTCATAACTCATAACCAGCTTTATTGCTCTTTTCGCCATATAAAATAGCAGATCTGTGTCGAATTATCTCTTCTTATCTAATTGGGTTAATAACAATATGTGTAAGCTATGGGATGAGCCAGTCCAATGTATGCGGTTAAATGGTAAAATAAAAAACTTAATCGCCCTTGGTAAATAAAAAGATATGTAAAAGTCTATGCCCCATTAAAAATCTTGATTATGGAAGGGTTGTGTGTAGACCCTATATGTTGATTTTACTTTTATTTAGCATTGTTTGAGAACCTATCTAAGTATGAATTTGCAAAGCACAGTCTATTTATTCAATCATTCTATAATGTTACACCCGTCTGTAAAATAATCAAAATTTTAAAAAAAACTAGACAGGTCTCAAAACGAAAAAAAAACCAGTTAGGCCAAAAATATATATTTTCAAAATCATTTTGAAAATCAAATTATATGTTTTAAAAAAGATATCAAAATAAAATATTAAAAATCAATTATATATTTCTTAATGTTCTTTTTAACTTCAATTTGAATTTTTATGTTAGATAACATATTACTCTCATATAAAAATAAATATTCGGAATGAGGGAGGGGTGAAGGGGTTTTAAATACAAATATTATCGAGTATTTAAAGTTACTTTGTGTAATAAGTGAGTATTTTTTTTAAAGGAACATTTAAGAAATTGTTTATTATTATTATATCTTAAAATGTAATTGTTGTATTATCTTATTGATTTTGAATAAACTATGGATTTATATAGTATGATTATTTTTCAACTGGTTACTATAGTTGTTTATCCCAGTTTTATTTTGAAGTATTATTTAAAAGAGCTTCAAAATTTTTTAATGAAACATATGATAATATTACTTTTTCGAGGATCTAATCTCTCACTAATTTTTTAATTAAATTCATAAAATGGCCAGTCCTTACCTTGTAAGCTTATATTAGATTATAATATGATTTGTATTTATTTATTTAGCCAATTCCGTTTAAAACACCATTTAACGTCGATTTTAGTAAAGGCAACACATTAATAACATTTTTGGGCGATATTCCTGAAAAATCAAATAGGTAACTTCAGTATTACAAAACATGTATTTTATATTATTATTTAGCTTTAAAATTGTACTCCAAGCAGAAAATGAAGGTAATGTCGGACTATATTTTGAACCAAATATGGAAGCTGGATTTATTGTTAGGAAATCATCCAAAGGTGGTTCTTGGATAGAAGAAGAAAAATCAGGACCTTGTCCCCTGAAAGCTGGAGATCCTTTTGAAATTATGATATTAATTGAAAAAGATGAATTTGAAGTATATTATCTTAGATATTCAAAAACAAATATTTTAATAATATATTATTTATATAACATATATATACATCATTATTTCTTAATTAAAATACAGGCTTTTAAATTAATTTGTCTGCTAAGTTTTGTTCTGAAATTGTTGTTTTGAATGATTAATATAGATTGAATATCGCTAGTGCATAACGAAATGTCTTAAGATTAATAACATTAAATAATAATATATTTTCTTAGCCATATTTGATGTTATAAATTAATGGATTATTCTATTTTTAGTCTAAAACAAAATATTAAACATAAATTGTAATTATTTTATAAGTTTATAAAAAAAATATTTAGACTATTAGATAAATATCAATCCCTCACTAATTTTTTAAGGGCTCTGTTTCTCAACATAAATATTTTTTACTTTATCTTGCAAAACACACATTTTAGAATATATCATACAAATTGAGAAACAATTTATAAATGTTAATAAAAACATAAACTGGTTTACTTTTTTCAAAAATGCTCAATTAGGTTGCATGATTAGCCTCTCTTATAATTTTATTCAAAAAATATGTATAAAATGGCAAATAAACAAGAAAATTTTTATTTTTGGCTTACCCCTTATTTTGATAAAAATTTGTAGGCATGCTATTCATGTTGTTAATCCATAACTAAATCAATTTGAATATTAAATTTTATATTTATAACTAAGTCATTGATAATTAGGTGAAAAATAGAAATAAAGTGTTTTTCAAAAAAAAAAATTCTGCTTATATTTACTATTTTTTATTCACTATTTATTAGTGCTGTTAAACGGCTCATTTTGAGCCGATTTTAAAAACGGCTAACTCAATCTTTTATTAGTAAAAATATTATGCAAGCCTTAAGATTTTGTTCATAGGTGGCACAAAGGTTTGAACATCTATTAACGAAATCTCGAGGCTTAGACAATATTTTCCTGGCTAAAATATTGAATTAGCCGTTTTTAAAAATCGGCTCAAATTGAGCCGTTTAACAACACTACTATTTATCCCATGATTTGTTTGGTTTGACAGGTTATATAAAAATGATTAAATGTTATTAAAAATTAATTCTAAACCCTAACCCATATCTCTCAAACTTTTAATAGCCATAATTCATATTTCTAACCTTTAAATATGCTTTTGCTTGAGATACCTGTCTAATTTTTAATAAATTTCATCCATTAAAAAATTCCATCAGTTGAACATTTTAATAAACTACTTTCAAAAATGTTACATAATATATATTTATTTAAAAGTTAATTTTTATTATACAATTATATGAATGCAAACAAATCCAATATTTTAATATTTGTGTATGTATGTTTTATAATTTTTGTTCAATTCCTTCTGCTTATATTTTTTTTAATAATAGCCTTGTGGTCTATTCAGATTTTGGATTAGGAGACCCTATTCTGTTTTGTTTTAAGTATCTTACTCTAAATAGCATCTTTCTTTTTTATTCAGTTTAGAAGCTATATAGATGGCTAAAATAGATTCTTGTTTAGAAATAAGACCAATCAGGACATGACCTAAAGGTTTTACTGCCTTCCTTAATCCATATAATTATCTATATTGTTACCTCAACTTTCGAAATCATGTTTAGCAGACTTGTTAAAGTATCTAGATACAAAAACGTGGTATCTGTATCTAGATCCATTTAAAAAGTATCTTTTAACAACTCTGATGTTTAGCCATTTTCTTCAAGCTTATAATGGGAATATATCAAGAATTTCTAAACATCCATTGATTGTGATTGAATGATCATAATCGATGTATTTATTTATTTATTTTTCTAAAAAATTGAAAAATTTGGCTATTTTCTGATTGAAACTCTTGTCTATAAATTATTATTTAAGCCCGTATTTTTTAATGAAATGTTTACTTTTACGTCATTTTGCGATTACAGAGGACTCCAACTTAGAATTCTACCTTCTTCAGCAGATTTCTGATCACGTGACATGTTCCATTTTTACTTCCCTTTTAATATTTTTTATATTATATTTTTTATAGTCCATATTGTATCTTTATTTTTAAATTGAAATGAAACCATTTTTTTAAATAAAACTATTCATAATTTAAGAATATGAATTTGACCCGTAAAATTTCTTTCAACCATAATATAAAACTCGTCTATTCATGGTCTTCTAACTTCAGAGGGGGGAGTTGATATTGAAGTGGGGTAACTAGCTATTACGACGTTATCGTCATTTGAATTAAATTGGAAGGGGGTACAGGTAGTTTTGAATTGAATTTTCTTTTTTTTAGCTAATTTAGAAGGGGTTTATGAGCTAGGGCTACCAATCTCACTGGCATATTAGGGAATGTATAATTTTCTGGTTTGTTCTACTAGATAATAGAGTTAACTAACTGCCTAGCAAAAAAAATATCAAAATTTATTTTTTTTTAAAAAAAAAGAAGAGAAATGGCATCAAATTTAAAATTTCCACTATTGAGTATCATTTTGACAAGAAATTATATTTTTAAAACAAAAAGCTAAAAGTCTAAGCCCAATTTTTTTTTATCTTTTCGAACCTCACCTCTCCAGGGCTAAATTTTAAATGCTCTTTAGGAAAAAAGTTTTTTAAGATATATTTCAACTTGTAATTTATATATTTTTTTTTATTTTTTTGGCGGAAATATATCATTTTCTAATTTCGGAATTATTTTTTGTAATTAGAGTTAAATACTTTATTCTCCCCCCTTGGGTGACACGATAATGTTAATTATTTGTTTGCTGATATTTTTTATTATTATTTATCAGTCATTATATCGATTTGGGGATTATTTTAAATTTTAAAAAATAAACAAACAAAAATTTGTGATATAGTAACAACTAATAATCTGCATCTGGTCTAATTTTTCAAACCCGCCCCGGCCCAAAGTTTTTTTTTAAAAAAAAATTGTCCAGCCGAACCTTATTCCAAACGAAATTTATTTGTCGTCCCGACCCGAATTAAAAGAAAGAAGGTTAATAATTATATAACCAAATGTAAATTGACAAGAATTTATCTAAAAAAATTTTTTTTATAAATACTATTTGACCTTAAGTTTAAATGTCTAAAAGCAAATACATTATTGAACCCCTTTGTTGTTATTATTATTAATTACAACTTTTCTGTTGCTTAATTTAAGGATGTTGTTAGCTAATTTTTAAAGGCTTTAGCCTTATCTGGATTTACCTCTAGCAATTTTTACAGATACTTTTTAGGGAAGGAGCATAGCTCGTTGCGATATAATGTCATAATAAATTATTGAGCTTATGACCTGGTTTATCGATTAAAATAAATTAATCAGAATTTCTTGCCAAATATGTTTCAAAAAAAAATTGGCTCGTATATGATCCATATAAATGATTTATTTTCCTTTTAGCTTCAGAAAATTTATTTTCTTTTTTAAATATATTAATTGTGGGTAAAATAAAATTAAAATGATATAAATCCTCTAAAAATATTGATTTTATTTTAAACAAAAAAAAATCGGGGTATTATTTTTATTTAAAAGTTTATCTATGTTTAAATGAAGTTGATATTATATTTCTGTTTTTAATCATACTTACATTTTTGAACTTGAAATCGTTTAAAAAATAAAATTATTTTGAACTTCATAGAAAGAAAACGCGACCTTAAAAAAATGAACGCTTAAGTTTTTTTTAAAAAATTCCGATCTACCGCCCCGTTTAATCGCTTTCATTTTTAAAGATAGCACTATAAAACGTTTCAATAGTTTTAAGCAGAGTCCTCGTAGAGCTTATCCATTACTTCGTCAAATTGGCTCAAAGCACTAAATAATTATTAATTGTATTTCCCATGTATTAAAATTATTCACATTATTCGGGGAAAATATATTAAAAACTGGGTTGAGAAATTATAAAACATATTTTCAAGCAATAAATTTGTGTTTTTTAAGCGGCTAACTAGCAATATTTTAGCCAGAGCCTAAGCCTCCAGATTTCGTAAGTAGATGCCCCCCCCCCAACCTTAGTGCCCAATGACCAGAATCTTTAGGCTTGCGGAACACTCTTTCTGGATAAAATATTGAGTTCAAATTGGTCTCTCAAAAAGATTTTTTAAAAAAAATGGATCAGCTGTTAAATCGTGTCGGATCGGGATCCCACTACGAATATGCGACCTTAAAAATGAATGGCATTTTTTATTTGAATTACAATATAAGAGCATATAGGGGTTATATAATTATTGTTTCCTTAAAAAAAAATTTACAGATCGCCGTAAATGGGCAACCTTTTACCAAATACAAACATAACATCGAACCCAAAGATCTCAAATTCGTTAAAGTGGAAGGTGATATACACTTAGCCGGAGTCAATTTCTTCAATGAGACGATCGACGAGGACGACGTAAATTTTTTTTACATGTTTAGCAAAAAAAAAACAAGTATTCAAATTCTTTGAACCCGAAACCAGTTAGGAACCGGAAATCAGAAAAATATTTATGCTTTCGGGCGTAAAAATATTTTTTTTTATTTTGTAAGCCTAAACGTTTTGTTGTAGCTTGAAAAAAAAGTAGTTGTTTACTAATTTTAATACTAATTTAATGCGATTATTTTTTATCATATTAATACTGTTTGATTATTAAGGATATTTGTTTTAATTTAATAATGCTTAATTGTAAAATTGATACCATTTTTTTTCTCTCTTATTATTAATATATTTGTTTCTCGATATTTTTTAATATGTTTGTCCTTGAAAATAAGGTAAAATATCGTAAAAGAGAGAAAGGACACAACATAATGTTTCTAGTATTTTCTTTCTTTTTTTAAATTGTATTTTATTCGATAAAAGAAAATCAATTTGTTAATGAGTATATTGTACCTAAAACGAATTATTTGATTCGTTTTTTAAGAATGAATTGAATACGAATAAGGAAAATATGTTATTTGTTTTATCTAATCGTAAATTTTCGAAAAACATGTGTTTATTGGGGAACTTTATACCTTCCTTTTTTCCTCATCTATAAATAAAATCACCTTTTTTTAAAGTTTTTAATAATCAAGAATTTTATTTTGGAATCCGAATGTGTCACGAATCAAGTCGAATAATGAAATTCCAACCAATCACGCGATTCGAAAATACGAATTGAACACGAATAACGCAAATATTCGATTCGTATTTTTGTAGATATAATGCGTATTAAATTCACCTGTTAAATGGAATCGAGCGAGTTGGAGCTTACAATTAGATCCGCATAGATTCTTTAAGCCCGCCAACTCATGGATTTTGAAAATAAATTCCTTCGTCTGCCCTCCCATTGGTTTAAACAAAAATCATTTTTTTACCGCCTGTTCGCCAAATTTTAATTGATTTGGTTTTCTATTTTTTATTTTCTTAAACTTGTGTGCAATATTTTTTGAATAAAAAAGTGAAATTTTAATAAATATTAGCCCTTACCCCTTAAAAAATATCTCCCGCTCCCTCAAATATATCTCTCCTCTTTTGACATTTTTATGGGTGGATTCAATGTAACATAAGTTTTTTAGAATGAAAGATTATACATTATATTTTTTTTGTTTTAAATAGTCGAATAATTTCCGACCATCCTCTAAACCCATTCATACCGAAGGACGGGGAAGTACCGAGGGACCCATTACATCTTCAAAAGCTCAACCTGTCAAAGGCGAGAATCTTTATGGTTAATTCTTTACTTTAATATTATGTGCATCTTATTATTTGTAGTATTGTTTAAAAAACCCGATTCGAGTCTATTTTTTAAAAACGGCCCGATTAAGGTTATAACTAAAATATTATTATATAAGCCTGGAGATTTTGCTCATAGCTGGCAGAAAGGTTTGGACATCTCTTCGTTAAATCGTGAGGATTAAATAATATTATTTTGGCTAAAATCTTAATAGAACCGTTTTAAAAATCGATCCAAATTGGGCTACAACACTACCTAGTACTATCCTATTCTCTTGGTTATCGTTATATTACAAATCATATTCTTCAACACAAAAAAATTTTTTATCTTATAACCAATATAACATTCTTTTTTAAAAAACGCGATATACTATAAATTAACTAACATTTATCCTCCTCGACATTATTTTCTATCCCTAGCCAATTCAATTATTTTTTTTATTTAAAAAAAATGTTCTTACTAAATTTGAAAAAATAAAATATTCATTTATCTGACATCATTCAGGAGGATATAGTTATAATCAACCAAATCAACAATACAGCCCCCCAATTAACACTAACCCTAATTTTTACCCTAATAATTCACCTTCGGTCAACTTGTATCAAAATTCTAACTCTCTCAGGGGTAATAGTCCAAATATAGGGTTTAATATACCCCAGGATTTGTTAAATCAGGGCAGCTCAGATCAATACAATTTGAATAATCAGTCCCAGGCAACTTCAGCATCAAATTTTTATAATGATAACAATTTTAATAGTATTAAAACCGGACTTTCAACAAACTCTCCTCGCAGTGATAATGCGTATAATAGCGGTGCTACGAATAATAGTTACAAAAATGTAGATTATTATGGTAAATTTTATTGATAACGGAAAAATTATGTTATAACGGCTCCCGCGTAAATGATGATCTAATGAAATATAGCCGATCTATAACTTAAATATTATATTTATGCACATATATATTAAATTTTTTATTATTTGAAAAATGTCAACAATAGCATGGAATTTATATTATTGCCTATAAATATATTGCTATTATATTCCTTATTTATATTTATCTTCATTTTAGCTATTTATTTGATCTTAATTTTGTTTAAAACATCTTATTTTGACTTTGTTATTACTATTTCAAATCAAAAATTTACATTTTTTACACTTTTTAAAAGGGGATTACTATGGAGAGGGTGACAAGAAGACTGAAGGTGAGGCATGGAAAGACCCCTTGGCATCTGGTGGTGGGGGTGGTTCAGGAAAGCCAGCTTATAAAGTTGAAGAACCTGGATCTGACGAAGAAGGTAATTATAGATATTTTATTTCATATTTGGTAGATTGTTGAAAATCATTCCACGATTGAAACGTTATTCGACTGGGGTTTAAAATTTATACTAACCTAGACTGATGTTCTTATTTATTAAATGCATTAAAAAGTGTACATTAAAGCTCGCCATTGAAAGACATTTAGACTAAATGTGTAAGGTATTTCATTAACGTCTAATATAGCCAATAGCATTGCCCACAGCTGACTTCAATGTATGTACACTTTTGATAAAATAAATCGTCAGTCCTAGAACTAGTATTGAGTCATTTAGGATTAGCAATATTTTTATCAATTCGAATAGCAGTTTATTCTTCTTTTTTTTCATATTTTACTTTTAATATTTTCGTTAATCATGGGATTGAATTAATTATAATATAGTTTATTTTAAATATAAATAAAAAATATTTTTATAGGAGTTTATTAGTAGAGGTAAGCATAGCCTGGCCCGCGGATTGAGAAAAAATATGATTTTAGAGCTGTGCAAAACAAATTGTTGGAAATATTTATGCAGACCTGGCTGAAGTTTTGAATTTAATAATTAGACAAATTTATGTCGTTTTTTAGAAACATATAGACAACTTTTATAAAATATATGAGCTGGGTCAGGTAAAAATTATTACGGGCCAGGCCAAAAACCCTGGTAGAAAATTCTCACTGGCCACTCAAGGTGACCTTTATTACACCAAAAAAATAATATCGGGATTGACGCTAGTTCATATTTTTATTTCTGAAATAACTTTCCAAGATGAATATTAGATATATTTTTCCATTTAAAAAAAAAGAATAAGATCTTATCATCAAATACGATATTTTTTTATTTCTAATTTTTCTCTATAAGTCTATATTTGGGGTTAGCCCGGAGTACAATCAAAAGCTTATATATTTGAATTCGGTATCTATCATCAAAATACAAGTATGATATTAAGGAGTTGTTATAAAAGATATGTGTATTTATGGCTAAAATAAAATACGAACTAGCAGACCCTAACCACAAACTAAGAAATAATTTATTTTTATTTGAACCAAAAAAGGTTAAAAAATTTTTGAATAATACAAGCAAATATTTATTCAAAAAATATCATTGATTTAAATTATGATTTAATTATGCCATTCCTAATATCAATGGTTTGGCCTTACCATGTTCTAAACTACAAGATTTTAATGTAAATTTACAACATATTTTTTGATTTTTCATATAATTCAATAAATGACAATTTTATAGCCTGATGCTTTAAAAATATACCAGAATTAGAAATCTACCACTTACATTAATTTTTCCAATTAATCATGCCCATTTATATTTTAAATTGCAAGGTGAAACAAACTACAACAGACCTCAAGGCGGGGGTGGTTATGGTGAAAATATGGGAGGCCAAGGTGGTGGATTAGGTAATCTGGCCGGGCTTTTTGGATCTGGAGGCCAAGGCGGAGGGGGTGGTTTGGGTGCTCTAGCCGGACTTTTATCAGGAGGCGGACAAGGAGGAGGTGGTCAAAATATTCCCCAAACCTTTCCTGGTAGAAAGAGCAAATTTGATTTCGCTAATGGATCAGGGCTTGCGGGAGCAGCTGCCACTGCAGTAAACAAATTATATGATTCTAAGTTATGCAAGTTTCTATATTCCGGGAAACTATAATTTGATATGAGCGTTATTTTTTACTTGTTATTCTAGAAAATTAAAATTTTATTTTTTTAAATTTGCATTTAAAACAGTTTTCATACAAATCTTGTACATTCAATAAATTATTCTGCACCTATAATTCTTATTTTTTTGCATTAAAAGTGAGCATGCTTTTTATAGTTTGATTAGTTTTTAAAGAATAAATAAACTCTAATTTATTAATTTCTTTACTATAAATGACGTCTATCATCACAGAGATGATAGTTTTTGACCTTAATCTTGAATTGATTTATCAACACATCTTAGCGTACATTATTATCAGAGACCTGCAGAGGTACCATTTGCATGGCTCGGCCTGGATTTTTTTTTGGCCTGGCCCGGGTTTTATATTTTCAGGTTCTATTCTTAATATTTATAGATAATCATGGCGATTTAGAATATTTGGTTTTAAAATATACGGCCCGGGTATTATTTTTAAACAGGTCGGACTTGCAGGTCTTTGAATATTATTACTACCAAAATGTGTCTACATTTTATTAATACAGATTGGTGCTTATGCCATGAACCGCCTACTTAACAACCGAAATAACATGGGAGGAGGTGGTATGGGTGGTGGTGGTGGAGGAATGGGTGGCTTATCAGGACTCTTTGGAAGCGGAGGTGGTGGTGGAGGGGCTGGTAATCCATTGGCAAATATGATTTTAGGAGCTGTGGGCAGTGCGGCTGGTAGTAAAATGGGTTACGACATAACCAATCAAATCCCTGGCATGAATAAGCTGTCTCAGAGTGGAGTACCCACGGGGATGATAGGGAGTTTCATAGGCAGCCTTATGGGTAACAAGCTGGTGAGACAATGAGGATTTAAATATGTATAATCACTATTGATATTTATAACCTAGGGAATATTATAGATTGATATTTCTATTTAAAAAAATGTTATTATAATAAATTAAATTTCGGTGATATTTCGCTATATAATTTAATCAATGACGCTTATTACGAAAATTATATGTTTTATCTTAGTAAAAATATATTTATTAGTAAATAATTTATATTTATTGTTTATAATATTTACTTTATTATAAATTTAATATATTAACAATAAATTATAATCTTATAATGTATATAATAAAATTTTACAAATCATGTCTGAATCAAACAATTATACATATAATTTATGATTTTGAATATATTGAATTAGTTCTTCGGGTAATAGATATTTGATACTCTGGCCCCTTGAAATAGCAGCTCTAAAATTAATATTGAATTTTATAGATGAGTTGGTTTTACAGCATAATGCCTCTCGTCCTAGTTTATTTCATTAACGTTGCTTTTTAAAAAGGTTTAAAAAAATAGACCATAAAATTCTCATTTTTTAACTTTGCGGGAATGTTAAAAAGTTAAAGAAGTAAACTAGAACGAGACCTATCACATGTAAAAACATTTAACCAATATAATATGTAGTAGAAGCCGGCCTATTTTTTTAATTAGACTTAAATAAGCATTCAACAAATTCGTAAAAAATTTATAAGAACTTAGGCCATGTCAACGCTTCTGATTATTTTTGAAATTTCTTTTTCGCTAAGGTTATTCAGCTTTTGAGCTATGACACCCTATTCTGGTTTTGTATTAAGTTTTGTACATTTAGTAAATATCACTTGTTTATATATTTTATTCGGTTCCAAAAAAATGACGTGTTAAATTATAAATAACCTCTTTTAGAAACACGTTCAAAGTTCGTCAAAAATAAAAGGAACGCCGTTCATTTTTTTTCAAAATAACGACGAGTTCGTTTACACTAGTTATTTGTTATGTACATAAATATTAAATATCTATTGTATATATTCTTTTTTTTTAACCCAATAAGATAAAATATCTTATTGCAAAATTTGGTCAAATTTAATATTGCAATGTGATCTTATTATTCATAATAAAATTAAAGGTCAGAATATAATCTCCAAAATTAAAAATACATTTTTAGCATATTGTTATGTGAAAAAAAAAGGAAAAGATTTAGAAAGTTAAAACTAATCTTTTAATTGAATATTGTAAATCTAAGAATGAATTTACTATTATATTTCAAATTTTCGTGAAAAAATATAGCTTTATATCCCCCGAAAAAAAATTCCCCATTATTGTATTTATCATGTTTTCTTACGAAATTATTTATTTTCTTTAACCCTTTTCCCATATTTATAAATCACTTTTAAGTAATATTCGATTCATATTTTTGTATATATATATTAATATCTGACCAAAAGTATTTTTATTATTTACTGAAGGTCAAGCAGTTCGACCTTAACAGTTCTATAAATTTAATTTTTTGCCCGAATTATTTTTTAATTCTTAAGTTCCAAGTCCTGCTTCAGGCTGAAATGCAAAGCTTTACTAATGTTTTTATCCGGGAACGGTCCAATAGGCGGACAGGTCTTTTTTTATATGGTCTTTTTATAAATGTCAAATATGTTTACTGATAAAGAAAAGTTATTTATAATTTTAAAGATAGTTCAATTGAATATAAAATTTGTAAGGATAATTGAAATGTTTAAATTGTAAGCAAATTAAATGACAATTGTACGAAATAATTAGGGCTGTGCCGATATTAAATATCGGATCGGTCCCGATATTTGGCGTTTTTCAAAAATATCGGATCGGCCCGATACCTGTAAAAAACCCGATCCGATCCTTTTACTAAAAATGCAATTCTTATAAAACTTTTGAGTAATGAAACTTTGAATTATTATTTTTTAATAAAAAAAATTTTTTTAAAATATTTTAAAAAAAAATAAATTTTTTCGAGTTTCTATTTTACATTAATAATATTTTATAAATAATTTTTTTTTAAACAATGCAAATGTTATTTATTTTTTTAAATAGATTTTACAAGTTTTTTTATAAAAATAGAAAGGAACACCCAAAGTTTTATTTATTTTTAATTTTTTAAAAAAATAACACCAATTTTATTATTTATACTTTAAATAAAAATTATTTTAAATATGGTTTCTGAATTATGGAAATATTTTGATAAAGATGAAGGTAATTTTGCAAAATGCGTCATCTGCGGAATTCTAATTTCACGGGGAGGAATACTGAAAAATTCGTTCAATACAACTAACATTAGGAAACATCTGAAGCGTTGCCATCAAAAGGAATTCGAAGAGCTATCACAAAAAGAACGAGAAATATTAGAAAAAACAAATCAAATTTTTAAAAAAAGAGCCCTGAAAGTCAGCCAACAATATCAGCCATTCTTAATAAAACTAATATTTGGAAACATTCTGATCCTAAATCAATAATAATTTCTAAATTTATAGGGGAAATGATAGCTTGTGACCACCAGCCGATTTCTATCTTGGAGGATATAGGCTTTAAAAGGCTTTTACATCATTTATGTCCAAATTACAAAATTCCCAATAGAAAGTATTTTTCGCAAGGAGTTATTCCGGATATATATGAAAAACTCTCCGAAAAAATTCGTAAAGAAATTTTGGTTGACGATTCTTTTTTATCCTTTACGGTAGATATATGGACTAGAAATTCAGGTGGCGATTCTCACATCTCATTAACATGCCACTATATAAACCAAAATTTTCAACAAATTAATAGAGTTCTAAATGTTAAAACATTTAATGAGTCGCATACAGCAATAAATATTGCTCAAATTTTAGATGAAATTATTAATTATTGGGGTATAAAGAAAAATAAAATACACCTAATCATTAGAGATAATGCACCCAATATAACTTTGGCCATGAAAAATGGGAAATTTCAAAGCGTTTCTTGTTTTGCACATAGTTTGCAATTGTTCACGCAGAATTTTATCACAGAGATCTATTATTGACATGCTTGCCCGGGTTAGAAAAATAGTAGGACACTTTAAACATTCTTCTATTGCACAAAATTGTCTAAAAGAAATCCAAATTCGATTAAGTCTAGCCCAGCACAAATTAATCCAGGATGTGCCCACCCGTTGGGATTCTACCTATTATATGCTCGAAAGATTGATAGAACAAAAAAGGGCGGTACAGCTGTACATTATCGATAATCCTAATTTGGGAAATCTCTCATTATATGAGTGGGAATTAGCAGAAAGGGTAATTGATGTTCTTGAACCAATTCAGAGAGTAACAAAAGAAATTAGTACGGAATCATGTTCAATTAGCAATGTTATACCCTTTGTTGAAATTCTGAAAAGTGAATTAACAATTAATGGGGACACAGATAGAGGTGTGCAGACTATGAAGAATACCACTAATAATCAATTAACAACTCGGTTTTTTGATATTTATGATGATGACAATTATGTTGTCGCAACATTACTTGATCCTCGATATAAGGATTTCTTTTTGCCAAAAAACATATCATACATAGAAAAGCTCAGGACTGCATGTGAGTCTTTTTTTAAAGGTGATGATAATGTTCAACTTCCAATTTCTAATAAAGATTCGCCAGGTTTTATATTTTTTAAAATAAATTTAGATTTTATTGTTAACTTAGGTAATGACAATGAGAAAAATGTTCCACATAACATTAAAAAATGCAAATTTAATTTAAGGGATGCTTATAAATTGAAAATCAAAGAAAAACTAGTAATAAATGAAATCGATAGTAATGTAAATGATGACTTGCCATACCTATTAGAAATCAAGGAATATTTAAAAGAATCTTTATATATAGAAAGTATAACAACATATTTTTCATATTAATTTAAATATTGCTTGGTTGGGCTATGATTGACCCATTTGTTTGGGTGATTTTTCAAAATCAACAAAAGATTGGGTTTGTATGAAACCCACTATTTTATAAATGCTAATTTTATATTTGTGTTATTTATTTAGAAAACTCGAATAACATTGATGATATTGATATTATATCCCCAGTGAATCCACTTGAATATTGGAGAGTTAATGCTGTAAAATATTCAACTTTATCAACACTTGCACGTAAATTTTTGGCTCCTCCAGCAACAAGTGTCCCATCTGAGTCTGCCTTAAATACGGCAGGGGATATTGATAGTCCTCATCGTAGAAGCCTATTGCCTGAAAATCTAGAGGCCCTTATATTTATTAAAAAAAATCTAATATATTATAATTTTATATATTAAATATTACAATTTTATAAACCAACATAAAATGGATATATTATTATATATATTTTTTAAAATTATTGTTGAAATAAAAAAATTAAATTATGCATAATTCTTTTATGCATAAAAAATATTGATTTATTAATTACATTTGGTTCAAAGAGGGGTGGTGAAAAATTAATATAAATATCGGTATCGGATCGGTTTTGAACCAATATCGGAAATATCGGATCGGTGAAAAATATGTGGATCGGCACAGCCCTAGAAATAATTATTGATGGTTTGTAAATTTTGGAAGTATAAATAGTGAGATCGAAAATGTAATAATTCAAGAAAAAGAAAAGGAAAGTTTTATCATTTTTACTTTATATTTTTACGTTTTAGTTTTATTTATGTTATTTTAGAATGATTTTGATTAACTATATATTTTAATAAATTAATTTGTATCTTCAATTCTTCATTTTAACAATTAGTAATTGCTTATTAAATAATAAATATTTTAATTAACTTAGCTGGCTTATTGTCCGCAAGTAGATACAGATTGTGAGTTTTTATTCATTTCTCCCCCATGAAACTTATGTTTATCTAGTAATAACAAACGTCTATCCCTTGTGATTTTTGGACAAACAAATATTTTCCAAAGCGATAGGATCTTGTCATAAAAATGAAGAAACAGACTTTCTAATAAGTAATAAGAGAACAATGGTATAACTATCATGTGCATGAACTTTTGGGTAAAAGCGAAATAGACATGTCCATCCCATGTAGTGGTCCTTCTGATCAATTCCAAACACCTGGCTTCATTAGCCTTTCAATCTGTGGGGCAACAATGGATGCGGCCTCCTTGATTTGATGGGAAGAGGATTTATGTGAAGTTTTGTCGGGCATTAAAAAACAAAGATCGATGATTGAAACTGAGGGGACAACGTATGCACAATATCACAAATAAGGATCCAATAAATTGATGTGCTCCGTGTAAGAGGTTTTTAAAAATAATTTTAAAATACCGTTGAAAAAGTTCAAAGTTTATCGCGAATGGATTAAGAATAAATTAATAGCGCGAAAATAAAGCAGAATAGCGAATGCAAAAAATAAAGGATCGATGATATGAGAGGTAAACGAATGCAAAATACCATCAATAAGAATCCCATGAATTAATATGCT